TGGAGTTTTACCATGTGTAATCCTTTTGGACCCATTTTGTACATTTGGACGGTAGCAGCAGATTGCTTCACGAACCTTACAAAGATGCTTTTATGAAGGGTCATGAAACCACCTTCTACAATATGCAAGACCTCTGTGTACAATATAATCTTATATATTGAAATGTTTTTTTTCCACAAACTAGTGACTGCCCTCAAGTCTCAGTCTCCTTGCACTTCATTTCTACATATCCATATGGCCCTTGTTCCTATACCAGGTTTAAAAATAAGTTCAAAAATACTTCTGGCATTGTGCAGGAATCTTAGACACGAGGTAAAGCAGGGGAGGAACTCCTCAGGAAAATGAATGACGGGAAGAAGGATATTTTGAGAGGAGGAGAGGGGGAAACTGGAGCTGAGACTGTCTCTGCTCCAGTGTGTGTGCTAGTGTGTGGTGGAGCCTTAGTGAACCCGACACAGCAATATTGATCACATCATCCGCTGATTGTATCTAGTTTCTCTCCATTTCAGACCAAAAAACATTGTTCACTCCTTGGCCCCCTGTGCCTTATCGACCATGTGTCAAACTTTTTGCAGCCCTTTTCTAGACAACTAAAATCGCACTAAGAAAATAAAAAAATGTATCCAGTCACCAAAAAGAAATTTCAATTAAATGGATCAGTGTTGGCCTTTTTTCTTTCCCCATGGGCTTCCTATGCCAAATGTGAGCTGCGATTTTAAGGCAGACCAGATTTTTTTTAAATAAGAATAAAAAAGTTTACAAAAGTAATTTGTTCTTTTGTATGTTAGCAGCTAATTGATCTGAGGATCGTGTCCAGCAATTGCAAAAAATGTTTATTGGCATGCTTAACTCTTTTACAGTTACCAGAAAAATAAAGGGACCAACAGTAGCTTCCCGTGTAATAGTACCTTTAATCTCTGTGGAAACAAACACCTGAGAATCCAACAACACTTGGCATCACTTCATGTTTTGAGGCAATTTATATTTTGTGCTAGCAGACAAATAACAGCCATCTCAGCTTACTACACTATTCAATTGAAGTGCATATAGAAAGGGAAATGCTTTTGTAATCGATACCAACATTAATGGGTAATGTGAAAGGACATCCTGTACTGTGTTTTTCATACTGGTCGGTTTCACTGCTTTAGAATGGCTCTGTTTTGAACAGATTTGCGTTCGTGTTTTGAGGCTACCCTAGGGTTTGCACCCATTTTTGAGTCCGAACAGCATCTGTGCAGAGACCTGGAGTCATGGAGGCAGCTTCCACATTTTTACATATCTCTGTGCAAAACCTTGAAAGCCTCACGTAATTTCCCATTAGCTTAATGAGCTACACTGAGGGGCACTCATCTATGGGCAGTATCTTGTCAATACAAGTCTATGAGTTTGGTGAACTAGAAGCCAGTAACCTTTCACTTCCTTTCAGAACGTCAAAAATTCAGATTCATGTAGAAAGTCCTCTGGTCCTTTCACTTAACAGTCTGTGGAGTTACAGGAGAGACTAAAAAAGCCCACAGCTAAAATCTAGCCTTTGCTTTCGGGATGTTTGTCAGTTACCCCACTAATATTATGATAATTATAAAAATATAACACTTATAATAACACTTTCTCTAAGAAAGCAATACAGTACCAATCTATCTCCTGCATTATAAATATTATGACATTAAATCAAAGCACATCCAAAGGTTTCCAGCCTGATTGTCACGTAACACAATGTACACCTTTGTTAAGCATTAATGAACTGCACTAAAATCCATTAACAAGGGTCGAGGAATCAATAAAGCTTTAATGCTTAAGTTATGTTAACGACACTGAGAGATGGATTACAGCATTCCTGGACACAATCTCAGGGCTATGGGATACTAAGATACCAAGTTTTTATTATTGCACCTTCATGTTTCTTAATTCAATTTAATTTAATATACTATATTTCATCCCCAAGAGGGTAATTTAAGAATTTAAGTCTGGAAATAATAAGGCTGAACTTATTATGATATCCCCAGCTCGGAGCTCATCATTTCTTCAGTCTAGGAACTTTGATGCATTACAAAGTGAAGAGCAATACCCCAAGCATCTGTCTGACACCCTTGCCATCCTATGCAGAGTATATGAAGTCTTTCTTCAATCTCATTTGTATCCTTTTAATGAACTCATCTTTTCCAACTGAGTTAAAACCACATGCCCAAAACACACTGTGCGAAACTGGAACCTAAGAGCTTGTGATTTACTAAGTCAAAAATGAGAGACTGAAAAGGCCAGCTATTGCATTAATCCTTCTATTCTCTTTTAACATTTCTGTGTCATACACACTCGTCTAATGAAATGATCATGGACAACCACTTCAAAACATATCTACAGTATCTATCATGAAGAATGCAGTCTGAATCCCACAGAGAAAACATTTCCCTGTTAATGTAGGTCTAACTTGGGGTGTCAGTCATGGATGGAGATGGTTTTGAACTTTCAAAACTGTCATGATTTAAGAATAAGAAAAAAAACAAAATGCATCCTAAGTGGATGAGGCAAAACTAACAGCTAGATTGCAGAGCAGTTATAGAAGCCACATTCTTGGTTCTTAATTTAGTATAGGACGTTTAATATTGGACGCTACCACATCCTCCTTTATAACCTCAGTGTGTCTGAGAGTCTTTAGATAGGTAGACCCTTCAAATGCAGAGTTCCACATGTAAGAATTCCATTAGAACATGTGATGTGAGAGTCTCTCATACGCCCACTGGTTATACTTTACGTCAAAGACACATTTGCAATGCAAATGTGTGCCAGTGACACCACTGAATGGGTCTGCTAAGACCCGCTGTAAGACTAAGACACTTTAGAAACAGGTTTTGAAACCCTAGTTCATGCATGTCTGACACGGTGTTCAAAAACATAATGGGGAGTTGATCTTCCACAAGGTTAACACATCAAGGCTGTACGTCTATGTGAGCAGTGTGATTATTTATATTTTCAGGAACTGACAGTCTCCATTGCTGTCCCCTTGAAAAAGGAACAAAAAAATAACTAAATGCTAAAAACATTCAAAACATTATAAATTTATATTACTGTATATTGTATTATTGTATGCCAGTACACTGGCTCAGTATGCAAGGGCTTTTTTGTCATTAATCTTTCAGTTTAATCAAATTTATATGTAAGTTTGCCCATATTTCTATCAGCCTACAGAAGAAACAAAATGTGTAAAACAAAATCTCACTTAAAGATAAATTATAAAATAATTAAGATAATAAAGACAAAATTGCTTCTTAATGTACACCTTAGAAGCCGACAGCACAACATGCAGGACTTAAAGAAACTGTAGAATAACAAGAAGTAGCAAATACCACAAACACCTTCCCATATTAAAAATCATTAATGGTACAGTGTACATAATTTTTGACTCATGATGTCAAACGTAATGATGTTGATATATTTCCCTCAGAAAAAATATTTGGAAGCATGACAAGAGCAAACATTTATCAGCAGACTCATACCTTAATTAAATGAACAGATTTAGAGTCAACACTAAATGCCTACATCTATTCTGCTTCTTAGAGATGTGGTCTTAATATAGCAGAGTTGGAGTGTTACTTTGCTTTAGAGGCACCTTATGCCTTGAATGCACTTTATACGCTGTGATAAAAGCAAGCTGCATGATAGAAATATGTAGTCATGCTAAATTCCATTAACAAAAGTGCAAGCGTTCACATCCAGTCTAAAATGCCAAGGGTGCAGTTCTCGATTAATAACAATCTACTGTAGGTTTCTTACTCCTTAAACATATGTACACATGAATCAGTGTCTCGATATCAGGGGGTTACTTTTTTTAATGCATGATGACCTGGATGAGATGGGAGGGGAAGTATTATAGTGTTGTGCGCCTTCGTGGGGAGTTGAAGTTCACGTGAACGCTTTGCAGTTCTGGTGTTCCTAAGCCATGGTTTGGTCCTTGAAAGCAAATCATTACCGCTTTCATACACGGTTAATCAAAGGCTATCTATCATAATGTCAAAGTTAATAGGTTCACATTATGGAAAGCGTAAACTGCGATGTTCTTGTATTTCAAACATCCCTAAATATTTTCCATTACTGTAACATTAACACTGAACTGTCTAGTGCTGTTAATGAAAATCGTTTTTTCTTCTTTTGATAAGGGTCCTTACCCACATACAGTAGCTGTATTTATATGTATTTCATATCGTGCATTAAAGTGGAAAAATGTATCAGTCAGGTATCCACATCGTAGATGTACATAATTTAAAAAGTTATTAATAGAGGCGGATATAAGCAAAAGGACTAAGAAAATAATTGTATAATTCAATCATTTTTACCATGAAATACAGAAGAACACTTATATTTAAACATTTCATATCAAAGAAGCATTATTTTGAATTCAAATAAAACAGGTGCATATGTTGTAAACGGGTCAGTTAGAAAGAACTTTGCAACTTGGCCATCGTAAAACAGTACTGTTAAAGCAATTAAATCTAGAAGAAAATGGTCAAGAATTCATAAGATCAGCTCTTAGTTCTTGTTTATTAAGGTGTGTACAACGGAAAGCTGTAATGAAATAACGTTATTTTCTGTCGGATTCTTCTTGTTCCTTACGAAGTTAATATCTTCAAAATTTTACTTAACTCCTTTCTTTAACAACCACAACAACATCTTGTTAACACGGTGCATGGTTAACTTTTACAATCTGGAATTCCGAATTTCACAATTTTGGAATTTCCAAATGGAGAGCAGTACGAACTATTAGCAACTATCCACAAAACACCTTACAGACAACTTACATTTTTAGATATTTTGACTAATCCGATACTATCAAAATTATAAACTACCAACACACAAACATGTAGCTATCATAATTAAATATTAGGTAGTAATATCAGCCTCCATAGTATGAATTTCCTGTCAGTTTACACTGGACTCGAAATATTAGTTAACATTTCTAACTCTGTCAACAAGGATATACACATGTCTGAGAAAAGTAAGATACTTACATTTGGCTGACAGAATCCTTATTTTCCCCGTGTTTTATCGATACAGACCGCTTTCACATCAGGGCAGAAGACAAGAGTACCCTCCGGGATGACAGGCATGAGCTCAGTGCGCACAGCATTCTCGCAAGCGCCGGCCCGCCCAGTGTTAAAAATAAAAATAAGACAGCGAGAGGTTGCGCAGGGGGACAGACATTCCTAACATAGGCACTGCCTTTAAATGGCAGGCACTCACCGCAGCCCCACCGAAATGTCACCTCCGAACTGCGGTCATTCAGCACAAAGATACAGAATGCAGGCTGGTGGAAAGAGAGAGCGGAGAGTTTGCGGGCTCAATGCGGGAATTTGTTGGTTGGATTCTTCAAATTAATAACACACAGTACATCACCTCGAGTAAAAAAAATATACCATTCAAATGTAACAGTGTCTATTGGATATACTGTGTTTGGTCTTTTTTTTTTGCATTTTCATGTTAACTGATCACTGAGTCGTACACTGCTATTTCGCTCATTTCTTCAGTGACTCGTGACTAAATAAGCACCTGTTACTTTCACGTTCCTCTTTGTTTGAGAGAAGGGCTATCTGTGCCGAGAGGAGTGAAGCTGGGGCATGTGGAACGTGCTGTTTAATGGTTTACTCATAATTACGTAAAGTCAAAGGTATGGCACAAACTGATGAATTAGAATAGGATAATGCAAAGGTCAGAAACTCACTTTCTGCAGGTCAGTGTTTCTGGGGTTTGCTCCACTTGATTAGTCAATTAAACAACAATTATTTTCTTTAGACATATTTAGGATTTTGCTCAAGATCTTTTACAGTTACTGAAAAGTACACGTCGGTAAAAGTACAGGTAATTCAAAAATTGCTTCAATCCTGGTTTGATTAGCAATTATGTAGTTAAATAATTATAACCACAATGTAACCAATTCCAGGTGAAACAAAATCCAGAAGACCACACCAGGAACACATTTAACACACCTGGTTTAACTGGTCTCAAAGTGAAACTGCAGTGCAGCTACTCCAAAATGACCACCTGATGAGCTTAGGTCTCAAGTCTGCCAATTAAGCCAATAATGAGCTGTTTTTTATTCAAAACTGAGTTTGAATGAAAACCTGCAGACATTAATTACCACAAATTGGTACCAGGACCACAGACTCCTGACATAAAGGAGAGACAGCTTCAACAATATGGCTGGCCAGACATTTCTCAGGCATCTACAAATCTTTGCGTAACAAAGTATGCCTGAATCTTCACTTGTGATCCCAATGCCTTGTCAAAAAGCAGGGGACAAAAGTTATGAAAAAAAATGGGGCTTAACAGTCAAAATGGAGAGTCTGAGGTTCATCCTTATACAACAAACATTTAATCATCAGATACCTGTAAGATGTAAAAGTTATAAGTGCAGTCATATGCCATAGCACAAAATTAAATCTGATCAGAACTGTTCAACCATACTGTTCAAGTTTGATAAGGTATTAGCAATTACTGTCTCCACATGATTCCACAGCATACATACTTTTAATATAGTATTCTACATTAACCACAGTTAATTTTAAGTTATTTAAATGCATTTTAAATTAGATTATTTAGAAGTAATTTTATAATTAAATCCTTACCTTCTTTTACAGAGTCCAGTTATTGAAACAGAACATCTACTGTACATATCTTGGCCAAGTAACTGGACACGGCACTCTGACAATACTGACCTGGTCTATGGTTTTTAGTAACAGGCAAACAACACTTCATACATGAATAATATTTGTTTAATTAAGTATATTGGTCCTAGTGAGCTTTAACTTAAATCCAATTTACTTATGAATTAACCTTGACAATCAGCCCAAATGTACAATTAATAATTCAGGCACCAAGAACACATCAAGACAAATATTTACTTTAAAAAGGAAAGCAGAAACAATGATGCTCCCAGGCTAGAAATACTTGTTATCTTCTTTGTCTTTATATCAGAAGTCAAATATTCTAAAGTAGAAGTTTTCTCAACATTTCTCACAGCAAAAACCATCTTAGTTTTTCATTTATTATACTTAAATTGAACTCACAGTACAAGGAATAACCTAATATTCATAAGGTTGTATATTATATATTGTTATATATGTTATGCATCATCATTTAATAATCTTATAATACATAATGAAAGCTTACATTTTCCCCATTTACCAAATTTCCATTTATAAACAAAAAAGCAACACCCTTTCTCCTCAACCACACTGGTAATAATGCAACACCAACACTTCAAAAGTTAAGTAAATCTCAGTGGTGCTCCTAGGTTGTATTTAAAGAGTATTTCAAAATACATTACGATAAGAAAATAAAAAGACATTTTCTTGTAAATCAGAAAAGTCCCACCACTCTCAATGTACACACAATGCTAAATATGAGTTAATAAACAGTATTCTTTCTGATTTAGCTTTTAGCTTTCAATTATTACACTACCAAACATTTAATGTAAATTTTAATTCCCAAACTAAAAAAAAACACATTTTTTTAACTGGAAAAAGGAGACCAGCATGTTTTACTAGACCTTCAGTGATACATTTGAAAAAGTGGACTTTACAGTGATTACAGTATTTTCATAATAAATAGTAATAAGATTTAACTCTTTCTGCAATATTGCAAACAGGACTTGCTCCCTACATTTCACTTTACTAATTCTGCAAACAAACAAAGTATTGCTAGACTGCCAAATGTAAACCCACTGACTGCTACTGTAACAGTGCAATAATCATCATAATACAGCCAACTGTACTTCTATATTCCACTTCAGGCAAAATAATACAGTAAACAAAAAAAAATATATATAATAGATTGCCTTTATTACCTCCCCTGGAAATTCACTAATAATGCAACGTTCAGAGATAAATATTATAAAACTCCGGTGCACTGAAGCCCTCTATTGGCACCTGTCTGTAGACATGCAGCAGGACACACGTACAGCACAGGCAGGATGAATGCTATGTATATATGCTGTATGATGTGCCGCTAGTTCTCCCGCTGTGTGATGTTCTAGAAGAGAGGGGCTGTCTGCCGGGGGTCGTCGGGTAGAACGCTGATAGAATCCTCTGCTTTTCCACACAGCATACAGAGCATGGTGTATTCCTACAGCAGAGAGGGAACACAAAGCAGTCAGCCCCATGCCTTCAAGTCACACCTCACACTCACAGACACAAACACCAGAGAAAAGAGATCAAGGTGCTTGATCAGAGGTAAAGCACTTCGCCAGGGAGGCATCAGTTTGCACATTCTGGAATTCATTATGAAGGTCTACCGAACATACATGGGTGAGAAAACCAAACCAAACTGGACGTATTACTTGTATAATATACAGGACTATAAAACATACAGGACTATAAAAAATAAGAATTAGAACTTTAATAGAGGATCATCTCTATGATAGTATGATTCACAAAGTTAGCTAAAATAGATTTAGAAAAACTAGATCTTGTTAAACTAACATGTTAGGAGTAACTTGAACAAGTTACAGCAGTAATGGGCACAAGATGAGCATTCAATGGGCAGCAAGAAAGCTTTTGGTAAAAGGTATCTTTTTTGAGGAACTTACATGCATGTATTTGGATATGGTAATTAAGGAATATAAAACAGTACACTTAAATTAGGGGTGATGTAATTAAAGGAGAAACACACGGATATGTGCTAGGACCACTGACATTCCTAATGTATAATAACATAGAAATTCTTGTATAGTTAGTAAACTGGTTACATTTGAATATTATAACAAAATAGAAGGATTAACAAACAGTGTAGAATCTGGAAATGAAACATGGAAATTCCTAAACTTTCAGACTGGGCATACGCCTGGCAGACTGCATTTAATGTAAGTGTTGAGTTTTACAAGCAAGTTCTGTAGGAGAATCAAAATACAGATAAAAGAAGATGCTACAGTATTTTGGGAAAAGACTAAAGCGTCTATGAGGACAATTTCATCTTCTGATCCAGGGCTTTTCAGCCATGGGCCTGGAGACCTACTCACTGGCTGAGCTGTCAGTTACAGAAATGAGCTGTTAATTGACCAATAATAAGAATAATTTCAGTTCTTGAGTTATTTTCCTAAACCAGTTTGAGGCTGTTTTAACTATTGTCTTGCATAATTAAATTAAGATTGCATTATTTTCTACTCACTAACAAGTAAGAAAAATTTCCAATCAAGTGACTTGTTAGGACATTTAAAGACAGCGCTCAGCTGGTACAAAATCAGCATTAATGTGGGTCTCCAGGACCAAGGTTGAGATCTCCTGTTCTAGACAATGTAGGGAGGCAATACAAACCAAACTTTGGTATATAGATTTGGTATATTTGGTATACTTAAATCTAGTGTTGTGTTGAAAATGTACAATGCATAAGTAAGACTTCATTCAGAGAGAAGTAAGAACAGATACTTCCGAACCTAAAAGTTTTTTGCCATATTTCTTACGCTCAATGATTTAGGGTGTGGAGAAAAGAGGGATCTAAGGTCTGTAATATAGGGTATTTACAACATAGAAACTTGGTTCAGTTGTTTATCTTGAAAACACTTGTAAAACCTCAATTAAAAAATTGGAACTAAAAGCCCATCCAATTCTGAGAAGCTACAAGAAATTAATCTTTTTAGTCTTGAACTGGATCTGATTCAAATATTCAAAAACCCCACTGACAAAGTCAACCTACTTGATTTCTTTATATTTGACAGGGAAATAAACATTCAACACCGTAGTTTTATTAAGAATATGAAGAAGTCCAGACCTAGGTTAAATTAAATTTATAAAATATGTAACCTTTCTTCAAGTTCACATGAATGGTTCTGTACAACTGTGAGATCCATTCTGCCCAACTAGTTTGTTTGGCTGTAGATAGGTAACTGATCCAATGATCTCATCCAGCCATTTTTTGAAAGAAACCACTGTGTCAGCTTCCACAATATGGCTGTTAATATAACTTGCTCTAGACTCCCATGAGGCTTCATGCAAAAAAAGCCTCCTGTGTATAATACACAACATTCTCTGAGGACTCAGGACTCTTCTGTGCTCTGTGTGTACATAACAGCAGAGTAACAGCACTCTTAAAACTACTTAGTTCATTACAAAATTTTGCTTTATACTTGCCAAAAATAATACTTGTTCAAATAAGGAAAACCATTTCTTACACTTAATAAATTGGAGAATATCTTTCACTCACATAATTACTGGTGTGCACAAAGAATGAAAGATTATGGGTACGTACTTGGTACTCATCCACAACAGAAAAGGTGTATTCATGCCTCGCGATGATGTGATGACAATTTTTACACACATCTGTTAAAACAAGAGTGAGAAAAAAACAGAGCAAGAGATTATGGAGGAGAAAGGAGGGCTTTTGCCCCTGCAAAAATCTTTGGATCTTTTAGGATGAAAGCAAAATGTAAATACAAAAAATCAATTTTATCATAAGTTTCAGCACAATTTCATCCCATCCCAGCAGGGAGATTCACCGTTGCTTAAAATTACACAAGGGTAACTGTATGTGGGGTTTAACTGGGGATAAATCTGAAGATCGTTCTTCCCCCCCAACACAAACTGCCTGCCACTGAGACAGTTCCTCTGTCTAAATGGACATTCCTCTTTGGGGCAATTTGTACATCAAAGACATAAACTCACGGTCATAGGTGACAATTTCTTCTCCATCGTCATCTTCTGTGACTCTGTTGTCGATCATCACAAAGTCCCGCTGGTTGCATTTTGCACAGCCCACATAATTCAACAAATAGGACCCATTTTCTAAACATGTGCTACCCTGGAAATGAAGGGGAGGTAGGGTGAGCAAATATGAATCCTTTGAGATATCTCAAAAGGTAACTAATTTTAAGATAGTCAATAGTGTAATACTCCGGAGTTTTGCTCGAATTTGACAACAAACCAAAGAATTATGATGTATGTAAAGAACATGATGCTGTGTAAAGATTAAGTTAAACCTATTAATCCCACCTCATCTGTTCTTCCGGTACTTTTATCTTAAATTATTTATATTACAGGAGCACAGTAATCTTTAATTTCTGAGGTGTGCTGCAATTTTTGCGAATGACAACAGGCTTTATCAGTATAAATCAACGTCTAGAAGCAATGCTTACGGTAATATGTGAGTAGCAGTGTTTTTTTTTTCGAAATAAATCGTTTTCATTTTATTGCACTACAAAATCTTTTGTGCTACTTCAACTATCAAACCACAATAGATTTATATTTAAGTGAGCTCCTTTGCGCGTATAGTACGTTAATCGCAACCATTTAAAATACTTTAGGAAAAGTAAACAAATACATGAACGAGTTTTATAGTTTCCGAATTCAATGTATTTTAAAATATGAGCCTTAATGAATATTGCTGAATAAAAGACGTGAACATTCAAATCCGTGTGAACAAAACCAATACACATGCACTAACACATTTCTTTAAAATGTACACTAGCCAAAACATGGTTTTAGCCACGGACGAACTTTAAAAATCTATTTATCTTACCCTGTCAGGGTATTCCTTCTGTACACAACCTCCACACATACTTTGTCGACTAGATATTGCTAACAACTTAAACTTCAACTTGTTCTTCCTAACTGGGAAGTTCACTTATACACGAACTGCACCCACTTCCGCTCTGTCGCGGAGCAATGACGTTTTCATTCTTTACTGGATGCAAAAAAGGTTTTAAACGAATCAACCTTCTAATAAAATTTAATTTAACATTTTTTTAAACAGAAAAAATTCTGATATTTTCCTTGTTTTGAGTCTTGCTTATAAGCATATTTCTTCAGCTAATAGTCACTATTGTTCGTACTGTTTATAATTCTATTTTTAATAATACGAATACAGTAGGCTATATACCAAAAACATAGTGTTTCACTTTTGTACCAAGTTTTAAACCTAAACATCTTTGGATTGAATTGCATTGGTTTTAGATAGAGTTTCAGTATATAGTGTTTCTTGAGCACTGCCACTTCGTTTTCAGTTCCTTTCGCTTCAGATGGACAACCAGCTATTTTGTAAAACAGTGGCAGTACAAGACAGTGCTGAAAACAAATAGATGCAGGAGCAGGACACCAGACTGTGCCTCAGGCCCTGTTCTGCTATGCAGTCAATCCTGCAGCAGCTGCCCCTGTGAAAACTGATCCATGCATGCTTGAAGTTTGTAGTAACTCAGATGATGTCATTCCAGTCATTCTACACATGTCCTAGAGCGATCTCCCAACGTTCCTGGGCCCTCAATCACATGCCGTTTGCAGAAAGGTTTAGTTACCAAATGATATCAGCGTAACCCGCCAGATTCTATTGGCCCCAAATTGCTATGTTCCACCTCAAAAGTGAGGCACCTCATGAGACATCAGGTCATCTTCTTGCCAGTCTGGAAAATAACCAATTGTTGTACTTATAGCCTGGATCCATATTGGGTCAGAGGCAGTGCACATCCTTTGCAAGCTTCCTTGTAAAATTCTGACCACCCAAGTCAAAAGCCTGAAAAAACTGCATTGGACTTTACTTATACTTAACCACAGAGTTCACTGAAAATGCTGCTACAGCAGTCATGGTGCTGATGTAATTTTGTGAAATACAGAGCAGCTCTTTCCAGTGCATAGGGCAGGGTTGTGTTCTTCATTTCAGGGAAAATGGAATCCATTTATTGGAATAGAAAAGAGGGATTGGTATTTTTGATTTTTTTTTCTACAGCTCCATTTTCAGCCTAATAAAAAGTATTTAGTCCAATTTTTTATACACCAAATGCAGAGCAGTACTTATGATTCTTCCAATTTCCTTTTGTTGGTAGCTGCATAATTTACCTGAGGTCTAAAAGCAATCTGTGAAATCTATTTTCTATCCGTTTCTTCCAAATCAGGGGAGCAGGGGAGCCTGAGCTGATCCCAGCAAGCAAGGGGTGCAAGGCAGGGTGCACCCCAGATGGGGTTCCAGTCCATCGGCAGACAGACAAAAACACATAGATAAACATGCACCCACTCACACCTAGGGGCAATTTTCCAGAAGCCAATTAATCTACTAGCCAGCAGCTATATCACCCTGCAACTACCAACTGGCAGCCCACTGAAGCTAAGTAGGGATGAGCCTGGCCAATACTTGGGATGTGAGACTTCTGAGGAAACCTAAGGGATAGGTGTTAGTGGGACAAACAGACTGCAGGGTGCTACCTATGTGCTCAAATATAGCAGTGTCCTTCGGATGAAACATAAAACCAAGGTCCTGAATGCGGTCATTAAAAATGCTAGGGTATTTCTTGAAAGAAGTTGAGGTCTTATCCCCAATGTCCTGACCAAATTTCCCACTGGCCTTTACCAATAAAATTTTTTAAGACAGGGAGAGAGAAGCTTGGAGTCTGAGCACAGGGTCAGCTATTTATATGGCACCCGTGGAGCAGCTGGGGTTAACGGCCTTGCTCAGGGGCCCAACGGAATAGGATTCCTCTGCCAGCCGTGGGATTTGAACCGGCAACCTTTCAGCCACAGTGCTACCACTCTGCCCCTAATCCCCAACTATGAATTAGATGAATCACTCTGCTCTCTGATAGCTGATGTGTGGTGAGTGTACAGGTGCACTTTGGCTGCCATTGCATCCAAGTGGGCCTAGTCATTGGTGGTGGAGGAGGGGAGTCTCCAATACCCCATTACCTGTAAAACTTTCTGAGTGGAGCACCCAGAAAAGTGCTATAGAAGCATAAAGCAATTATTATTACCAGTATTTTTTTTGGACAGTGGAAGGCAACCTGAGCACTTGGGAGGATACCCACACTAACATGGGGGAGAACATACCACCTCAACACAGATAGCAGGTCCGGAATTGATCCCAGGACCCTATTACTGCGCGGCAGCAATGCTATTCACTGTACCACCATTCCATGCCCGATCTGTGACATGTTAACTTTAATTTTTGTTCAGTTTTAAGGCTTTCAGCAATTTTAATGAAAAATTGCACTTGTGTTGGGGGCAGCACAGTGGCAGAGTGGTTAGCAATGCTGCCTCGCAGCACTGGGGCCCTGGGTTCAATTCCAAACATGCTAGCTGTGTGGAGTTTGTATGTTCACTTGAGTTTGGTCCGGGTGCTCTGGTTTCTTCCCACAGTCCAAAGACATACTAGTAGGTCTGGGAAAATTGGTCCTGGTGCGAGTATGTGTGTGTCTGTGTGTGCCCTGTAATGGACTGGTGTCCCATCCAAGGTATATCCTGCTTTGCATCTGTTACTCGCTAAGACAGGCTGCGGCTCCTACGTGACCCTGAACTGGATAAAGTGATTAGGAAATGAATGGATGCAAGTGAGTAGCATGTCGCTTTTCACTTTTTAGTCAGCTAACAGATGGGAGATTGAAGAATAAACTGATTTCAAACCATCATATGTGACTTGGTAACAGCCGGTCGTGGCCAAGTATGTATCAGGTCTGAATCTATTCATTATTATTGTTGTAATGGAGTACCTCAAAGACAAAGAGCAAAAGGATTAACCCAAAGTTGACTGAAGAGCTGATAAATGAAATACCCATTTACAACGGGCATTACAGCAAAACTGGTGTTTACACAGAGAAGAGCTTCTCGCACAAAATATTTTAAACGTATACACTGTTATTGTTAACATGAAAACGTTAGGTGTTTTTACAAAAATCCTGAATAGCAATTTTCAATGCAAGAGAGGTCTTTAAGACCACCAGTGGCAGAAGGACACAAGTAAGAATTATGAGGAGTTTTCAGGACACAAAATAAGATGCCGTCTGGAAAAAAAAACACTTGTCCCACTTCAAGAAATAGCTTGATAGGACTCTTGGATCAGTAAGATGATGGTCACCAAACAAGACAGTTTAGACTCCACTGGTGAATGTTTTAAAGACCTTTTTGACAAATCTGTCAGGCTGTTTAATAACCACAAGAATCCTGAAACTTATCATTCCTCATTTAAAAGACAAATACATACTGCTATTGGATTAGAGGCATTTCAACTACAGAGCCTAAGTACAACCACAGCAGAGAACATAATGCAGATATTTTATACATTATAAAACACATGCACACAGGATTTTTAAATAAAGCAAATATATTGTGGAAAAAATATATACGTTCATAAATAATTTCCAAAAATTAAAAAATATTAAATGCAAATACAAAAATGCTTGTGATACGAATTTTAAAAAGCAGAACAGAATACAAAAAATACAAAATCCACTCCAACACATAAATAATCTTTGTTATTTTGAACTTGTAAACATTCTTGCACACATATATATTTATAAAAATAAAACTATCTGTACATCCTTCTTTAAAAGAGATCAGCCTTCATTTGAATTATTAATTTTAGGTTCCAAGAGTAACCCAGTTATGTCAACATTAATGTGTTGTAGCATGCAGCCTTCAAATGAATCAACAATAGGGGATTTTTTTTTGGACTGTTTGATCTCCATATTTTATCATTGACCCATGTTATTCTATCACATCCCTATTATGCTTTCAGCCACTGTAGATTAGGTCAATCTAGAGGGTATTCTAACATCAGAATTCACAGAGTGGCAATGGGCAATTATAAACTGCTCTTTCAATCAAAGGGGGAGAGCCCAGTGTTCTTGTCTTTGCAGGCCATAAGCAAATATCTTTTTATGAGCTTTTCCACAGTCAGGAGGTGTTCATACTTCATATAGTACAGTACTTGTTTTCACCTCAGGTTTGATGCTATATTGGTAACACAGTGAGACAGTTTGCTATTGTTTTAATACACACACCTTAAAATAAAAGATTAAATTTACAAATTAAGGCTTTACTATAGAAGATGAGGTGAGTACAGGTACAGCTGTAACAATGAACCCAGAGACACATTTTCACAACATTAGCACATATCAGATTGAAATCTATAGTGTGTTTTGAAGCTACAATATTAACCCTGTAGCTGGCACTGTAAAGTACATAATGTATAGCCTATTTGTTCCTCTGAGGTACAAGCTTAATCTGGTCTATCCTACACAAATTTCTAAATTTCAGAGTCTAACCCTGCAATATTAAATGCAGAGGGATGCAGTCTTTTGAACTGACAGTCCTGTTAACACCACTTACTCTCAAAGCAGTAGATTTTTCCAAGCCTGAAGTCAGTTAAATGTAAAACTATGTACAAATTCTATGTACGGATTTAAACAAATGTGTTTCTCAATCTATTATATAGATTATTAAACAGTTTGTACGTATTTGTATGGCTAATCATATTATATCATATCATATCCAGGTATCCCCTCCATATTACAATGCCTGAAAATATTCTCAAACGGCAGGCTCCAGGTAAATTGTTTCAGTAAGAGGAAGTGTGAAAGCTTGTCAGACAATGAAGTAACACCAAAGTAAATTTATAGGAATTTAAGTGATTTTCTAATAAGGCTTGCTGTGTCAGGAATATCGTAACATTTTTTGCATAAGTGAATGAAAATAGTAAATAACCACATATACATATAAACACAAAGATACTTATATACATAATCAGTTCAGGTAAAATTCAAGTTTTTTAGGTCTGATAAATTACATAACATTCTTGGTGATGCTTATTTGCTGACCTAATCATTGAATCGCTGACTCTAAAGCACATTTTGCACAGATGAATACTAGACTTGAAGGACTGATATATGTCATCAGTACTTCCCTGTTAATTTCTGCTCAAGCTTGTTTAAAATATTTTCCATGTCACAAAAAATAAGGATTCTGAAATTAAAATTCTCAAAAGTAAATATCAGCTGTTTTACTGTGCAAACCTGGTTTGCACAAAACTGAGTCATTCACTGAAAAGGTCTGTATAACTGTGATTCTCCACCACTTATTGTTTGAATTTCAATTCAGTCTTTTCTGATTCACTACAATTGTGTTTTTTGCAGCACACCACTTAATGGAGTCTTTTTATTACAACAGCAACAGAAAATCATATTTGAAACATGTAATAGGACATCAGACTAGTAAAGCAAGAAATCACAGTGAAGTGCCGATGTTATACGCAGCTCTCTTTAAAGACTGAGCTGCAGGGTATGTAGTTTATATTTAGTGGTTTAGACTTCTAACAGAATGTTTTGTGAAAGGTCCAGTATGACAATCTGTGTTCCATGTGCTTTCAAGAGTTTGCTTATCTTTGGCACAATATGTTCAGTCCACAATATCTTAGATATCTGCAATGAAGGTACTGCTGACTTGAATTAAACACAGCAGTGCTTAAAAATAGTATTAAAAACTACTGAAATAGAAACCAGGATTTTTTTGGTCTCTGTGAACTTAGCACTCTTTGCTTGAGAGGAAAATGTTCCCAGTCACTGAAACGTTCTCTAAAAGCTTTATTTCCTCCTCAGAGATGACTGCTGGAAAATAGAGACTGAAGCAGCCCTAGTAGGCACAGCAACGCAGCAATTTCAGTAGAGCAATTGTCCGTATTATATACTGTATATATATTATCATGGGTTGTTATCTGTTCATCATGACTAAGCACTGAAAGTTAAGTGTTTAAGGTATACTCTCTGATCAAAATAAACAAAAACTATCTGCTTCATATTTCATATGGCAAATACATCATATGGTTTTGCCTTGTGATTAGTGTCTTTACATCCCTGTCTGCTTTATGGCTTCTATAAGTAGCAAATCATGAAAGGTATAGAGTAAATGCAGAAGCACTTTCTTCAAATGGGTCTTAGAGGTGCATCAGTGGCTGCATGGATTCTGACCTTTAGGTCAACCTGCAAACCATCCAAGCACACTTAGGAGGATTTCCTTGTCCATCTTGGCAGCCCTGCTTGCGGATGAAAGCTGCTGGTCTCAGAAAGAGAAAAAGCTGTCCAGATCTGCTATAACCATCGCCTGCCTCTTGGCCACTGAGCCCAGCAGGGGCTGTGGAAGGACTGGAGTCCCCAGATCGACCTGCAGAGAATAGGGGAGGAAAAGCATACATCCTGAGCAATGAAAGCAAGACTTTGTCTGAGAAAAACAGCCTGACCCTGTTGGTTGACTGAAGATCCTGCCAGTACAGCTCACACACAACCCTGAGGAATTGGAGTTATCACTAACATATTCAGTACTGTGTACTGATTTAGGGGAAAAAAAGGCATGTTTAGCTAATATCAAAGGTAAATGAGGCACTATCACCCACTATAACTCAGCCACTGGAGGGTGAAAAGCTAGCTAATAATCTGTGGTTTTGACTGTCCATTCTTATTCATGTTTTTTTTTTTAAGTCTTACTGTACCTTGATTGGTACTTTTCAATTATTCTTTTGTCAAATCTACAGTTGAAATTAATGTTCATTTTGATCTTCATTTTTCTACTCAGTCAATGGATGAGTGAAACTCACATTTACAACTTTTAAACAGCTGACTTTTTATTCCACTGAGAAGCATTTATCAACATATTTCAAACACATACAATAAACCCGTAGTTGTAAACCCTTTATCTGAACATGTTGCTAAAATTTATATCAATATTGTTATTTCATGGTGATTTTATCACTATTCAATCATTTAGCTGATGCGATCTTGGAGGGAGAAAAATACAAACATGGTTTTCCGACATTTCTCAACCGCTAATTGTTTAGACTGACAGCTTGTTTTTTAAATGTGACACGCACCTATTTAAATTAAAGTGCAGCAACCTAAGGATTTAACAGGTGGCTAAAGTCAGCACTCTTAAGAAAGAAGACCCCAGGAATGAAACTGAATGAATTAGCATGACAGAAACCCAGGAGTATGTCTGTGAAATCCTGGATTAGTGCTCGAATATGGTGGTGGGTGGAGGAAAAGAGAGGGCGTACCTGTGTCATGTAGATGACCCTGGTGACCTCTTTCCCATCACGGGTGTGGGGCTGCAGTACCCAGGCGCTGGGCAGCAGCTCTCCACGCACCATCTCTGTGCCAGGGCGGGGCAGGCTCTCATCGTATATGGAGCGCATCGCCAGCACAAACTGGCCTTCCTGAGGGGAGGGGTGAGAACACTCTGAAGCCACACATCTCTGCCACACCAAGGGTACTACGGCTATCAGGAAACAAAAGCATTGAGCTTTGACTGGCCCCATCTTGTTGTCAGTCATCCTTCATGTTACAACTGGGAAGGTAATAAGAATCTCATTGCCTAGCAGTTTCTTTAATTTCGGGTTTTACAAGGTGTACAGTATACAGTATAATCCAACAGCAAGGGGAGTTCATGCTTTCTACTCTAATACACAGATATATACAAATGACTGTGTACACATGTGCATATACTGTACACACATCACAGAACTTCAGCTACATGTCTCTGGTAAATCATCCTGGCTCTGAATGAGGATAGGGATTTATAGTGTGTGGTCTGTAACAGAGCCACAAAAGAACTCATTAAAGGTATTAAAAGATGAGGTAGAATAAGCACCAGCAAACATACCAGCCCATTCCTGGACTGTTGCAGGACCAGCCTGGTCTATAACATCACAAAAAGAATATAGATGCATGACTGAAGTTTGCCAGACAACACCTAGGTGAAGATCAGGGCTATGTGAACAATGTGCTATGGACGGGTGAGACAAAGGTAGAACTATTTGGCCACAATGCCAGACCTCATGGGAGGCCATCAGTCAAAAAGCTGAAGCTGAACCATAAGTGGACCTTGCAACAAGACAATGACCCAAACCACTCAGGCAAATCCACAAAAGAATGGCTCAAAAAGAAGAAATGGAGGCTTATGGAATGGCTTAGTCAAAGCCCAGAACTTAACTCCATACAAATGCTGTGGGGGGACTTGAAGCAGGCAGTACATGTAAGAAAGCCCTCAAATATCACACAGTTGAAGGAGTTCTGTAAGGAGGAGTGGGAAAAACTATCTCCAAGTTAATGTAGGAGACTGATAGATAATTACAAGAAACACCTACAAGAATGTCTGCACTCACACTGGGACACACAACTCTCTGCACACCTACTGTACCAGCCTCGGGATACCAGGCCCATGGCTGCCTTATTCAGGACTCACCTGCTTGTCCTCAGCGCTGATGCAGCAGAAGTCCCGGGGCTGTTTGAGGTAGCACACTGAAGTGTCCATCACCACATACACTGGGGAAGACATTTTACCTTTATTTCCTGTTTTGTTTCATGTGAATTTTTATTTGCTTTGGCAACACTGATTGTACCCATCGATCATGCTAATAAAGCACCTTGATTTGAAAAAACTGAAATTGATAACTTGCTGTTCAGTCATGTTACTAGACTACAGAAAGGACTGTTTGCTTGACTGTTCTTTCTAGGTATAGTATAAAAAAAACCAATATCCTTCGTACTGATGAAGGAACAAACTCAGGTAGGATATTTTGACAGTAAAGCAGTTATAAATACATTGTTTTTAAAAGTGGCAGTGTGTGCCAGTGTGAGAGTGCCCATGTGTGTGTGTATGCACGTGTGTGTGAGAGCCCTCACCCAGCTGTGTGGTGCTGTCCAGCCTTGTGGCCTGTGCTGTCTTGACAGCTCTGTGGTAAAGGTGAGTCTTGGAGTGGTCCCTGATCATACACCACACGCTGTACAGAGGCTGCTTGATCACAGCTGCCCCCAGGAAGCCGTGCATGGATGGGCTGGAGAAAGGCTTGTAGTACACCAGCACCCCTTGCTCCAGCCCTTGGTACCTGGTGTCAAGACAGAAGAGCGGATTTACTATAAATGGGCATAGTTATTGAGCATTAAAACATGTAAAAAAGAATTGAGAGTGGCTGAAGATTTACCCAAGAAAACATAAGAATAATTGAACTGAGTATTGCAAAACCTGGAGCAGTCCATACACTGACAGTGTCCTTGTAAATTGGAAGCACAGTGTTCCTCTCCATACTGTATGTGCACTGTCCAGAACAAAACGCAACTGATCCCAATGTGGGCTAGAAGCAGGATAGTTAGCAGCCAGCTCTGCAGGGCTGCTTTTGTGGCTACTGATAACCCAGCTAGTAAAATACTCCTCTTAGTTACAGTAGGTTAAGATGAAATGCAGAGCGGTCACACTCGGAGATGCAGGCTCAGACGAACATCCGTGTCAATGAGACCAGACAGAATAGTGACTACACTTCTCTGGAAATGCTTGACAGCCTGACCGGCGGAGGTAGGTGTCAATCTGTCCTATGGAGCAGCCACTAAGAAGCGGATCAGAAACAGACCTTACTTGAAAATATTGGGTTTAACTTTTTGTTGTTTTGGTAGTTAAATTTTATGAGACTTTAAAAAACAATCATGTCTGAGGGAATTAAAATCCTTCATATTTACTGGATTAAGTCTGTTTGCACTTGATTTAGAAATATTGCTTGTGTTTCTGGTCTTCACATTTAGATATAGGGCACCTCTGTCGGAAACCTAATTAATTATTAATTAAGAACAAGGGGTATTATGTCTATTCTACATAATTTAATATTTTATTTTACATCTTGTGCCAGAAACAAGTTAACTTGTCTTTGTTTAATACAGGTACAGAACCAGGGAGGAGCTGAGTTGTCGTATTGTAAAATGCTCTACACCAGTCAAAATATAGCTCTTCATGAATCTGTGTACAAGGAATATACTGCAATGGCTAGTCTGTGAAAAGTGATTCCTGAAGATTTCAGGTGAGGACTCTTTAGAAATCCAACTTCTTAAGCAGCAATAAATGGATTGAATGTGCTGCTGGTGAGCAAAACCCACATTGAAGCACTTCTGAAGGAAGAGGTATTGTGGGTTAGGTGGTGCTCCAGGTTTCTTGTTTGATTCCAGAGCAAGAACATTGTGGAACTATTAAGTGATTTTTTATTTAATGCTCAACGTATTTGTATTATTATCACATTTTAACATAAAAAAAACTTGTCTTGCATTAATCCAAAGCATGTGTCCTTAAATGCAACCTTCTACAGACCAAAGCAAAGAACGTTCCTGAGCCATGTGCTGAAGACACAGTTTTAACTTTAGTCAAAAATAAAAGGATTAAGTAAAGCTACAGTACTGTACAAATAAGATGACAAATTAATAAGACCCTGGAATGAGCACTTCTTTTTAAAACATCATAGCCTATGCCATCCACTGTTCAATTTTTAGAATAAATAGAGACACGAGCCTTTGACTCCTCTTAACCTGCTTACTGTGCATGACACCCTACCCACACAGCTCTGGTCAGATCATAATCTTGCTTTAAGGCACAAAGTAAACAACATTCAAGAAGGTCACCAGTGTATCCAAACTTACTTCCAGCCTCCCAAAGAGTTCCCTGAGAATAAGTTTCCCAGGTCTCCTTCAGAAGCAGATCGGATCTGAAAGGTCAGAATTAGACTGGTTAGGTCTACTCACATTTAAAACTTTGGAAATCTGAATATGACATAAATCATCACCTTTAATCCATATTATGTGTTGGAATAATGATGCAAAAATGAAATTAAAAGTGTTATAACATATAATGAACTGACTGAACTCTGAGTTCTTTTAGTTCATATTTTAATAACACATGATAGAAAGCCTGCAAAAGGAGAGCTAAAAACTTAGCAGTGCTGTTTTAGTTTTACAATGTGTTTCCAGTTTAATAGGTGGCTTTTTTTTAACTGCCAACATTACTGCCACAACGTTACAGCCATATTGTAAAGGCGGTCTACTGCTTTCTCTGCTTCTTGAATCAACTAAGCTTGCTGTATGTCAGCATTAATAAGCTATCATAACACTAACTGCTTTATTGAGATAAAGATAGTAGTATCTAATTTGGTAACAAATGTATCTCTTTTACTGAGGAATAAAATTGTTTTTCTCCTTTTTGCACTGTTCTAAACAATGATATTCTGTACTCCTCCCAAATACTTGAACTTAGTGATGGCTTGAATCTTGACCTCTCACAGTTACAGAACCAGGTAAACAGGTTTGTTTGGCTGGTTTCAATGCTACTAAAAAATGCTGGCAGTGCTGGGGACAGATGAGTGTCAAGGTCGTGTGCTCCATTCCTAACTGTGCACTGGTACTTAGGGACAGAAACATGGGACAGAAACTAGAAAAGCACGTTTGTGCTAGACTGTCTAATTCACATTCTAAACTACTCCACAGTGAGCAGATAAATATTTAGTCGTGGTTAACCTTGAATTCCCCCCAGATTCTACCTCTGCCATAGCACAGGCAACTGTACATGCGGCTATCTCCTGATAGGCTCCCGACACAGACGAGATCGAGTTGACAGACCGGGTCCTCTCCCTGACTCTTGGGACCAGAGGCTGCCGGGCACTATTCTCAAAGCCAGGGCCCTCCAGACGGACATCTGGGTTACACAGAAATAAAAATGAACAAAGGTGGCCATTGCAAAGTCATAATACAGAAAATGGAAGTCAGTTTGTTTATCTTAAAGGTGTTTACAATATGGCTCATAGACTGCAACCTAAATAATAAATAGCTAAAGTTCAGGTTTAGAGCCTATATGTTGCTAATACAAAGACACCTCATGTAAAAAGGAGCACCCAAGAACAGGGTGGACACGCCCAGTTCTCCCAATTAATTTTCTCACCAGTGGTCTCATCATAAACCTTCTGCACAAGCATCTGCATAAGGCCCTGTTGAACACAGGATCAAGCTATAACTGGGCTACATCTGTGTCAGCTGTATTTTCTGCTTGTACCTGCAGAATATACTTATTATCTCAATGTCACAACTGCTCACATGAAAAACTATGGGTTTTTGCGTGCTTTCTGTATTAATACTGTATTGGACAAGCTAAACATTTTACACGCAGTGCAATTCTACTTTTACCTAAAGCAATGAAAGACTGTTTTTTAAGTGCTTCCCATCAAGAGAGATCAGAAAACCATTTCAAGGTTGTTTCTATAACAGTGCCAATCAGGAATTCAAGTGTCACCTTGCCTGTAAGAGCACTCACCGTGAGCAGACAGCCACTGGCGCTGGGCATCCGAGCACTGGGAGCCCCTCACTGTGGGCCGACCCCTGACCCTCTCTGCCCGCTCCTCTGAGGACTCAGCAGCCTGCAGAAGAAGAGACAGACCAGTTAACACTAGGGGCAGAGAGCTGCATCAAGGACTCGTCTGATCTTCAATTCCCTAAAATTTGTATTTACTTATTTAGTATTTTGTTTTTCATCCCACTTTATGTTTAAATCAATGTATCGGGCTGTTGCCAGTGCCTGCCTACAGTCCCTGATCTGCAGGGTATTCATTGCGCTACTCATGTAAGAACAGCCCAGCCATGCTGTTGAAAGACACACTATGCAATCCTTTCCAATACGCTTTGAAGGGATTCTTGGACCATTAATCTTATAGCACCCAAACCAGCAACTTTGCAACTTTTCACATGGCCTTAGTCATGCAATTAATTTTAACCCAACTGTCACCACATCTTCACTTTCAACATTTTGCTACTAATTATGGTCCGACTGTTAATTGACACTTTGTTTCAGCCATGATTTCCCATAACCTTTAGGAGAGGAAATCAGCTTGACAGTGTTCAGTACATGACCCCTAACTCATATTTGAAAGCACAGAGAAATGGAAATTGAATTAATTAATTCATATTAGTGAAATGTTCGCCCATACTTTTTAACATCTACTATGTTTTCCAGATTAACTGAGTCAGAAGTATTAGATTGGAGATCTTCATGTACCTGCAGTGCTAGTGTGGTGCCCTCTATTGGCGCAACAGTGTTACTGCTGTTGTAGCCTGAGGTGGGGCCAGAAGACAGACTTAAGCTAGATCCAGTACAGAGTGTGCTGGTGCTGATCCTTGTCCTGAACCGCAGATCATCCTGGGCCTAGGGAGAGAGATAGAGGGTGTGCATGTCAAACAGTAGCTGTCTGGAGCTGGCTCTGGGATACCGGAGTTCTTAAAGATATTTCAGTACTCTAGTACTATATATAATTTATTCTCACAAGAATCAGTAAATCTGTATTGAGCAGAAACTTATAGCAGACTATTCCATTAGAAAAAGAATAGAAGTGTTTGCAAGAAGTAAGCCATCCATTTTCTAACTAATTAATGTCCACAATGTCATGGGGTGTCTATCCCAGCAAGCAACAGGCACAAGGCAGGATACACCTTGGACAGGACACCAGTCTGTCGTAGGGCACACACACAAAGACACAAACACACAAACTTACATCAGGGCCAACTTTCCCAGAAGCCAATTAACCTACCAGTATGCCAGTATGTCTTTAGAATGTGGGAGAAAACTAACACAAAAACGGAGAGAGCATACAAACTCCACACAGATAGCACCTCAGGTCTGGAATTGAACCCAGGGCCACAGTGCTGCAAGGCTGCACCACCATGCAACTCAGTAGCTGAATTTCTTCTTAGAAATAATTATAATGTACTCTTAATTACTTCTTTTTCTTATAAGTTGTGATCACATTTAGGGTGAAAGCAGTGTCATCAAGACATTCTGTCCAGAACTAATCTGACAAGGATAAAATCTTATAGCTTTCACCTCATTCATTTTGTATCTTTTTAGAATTATCTATGACATACAATTATGAAAATCTGGGACAGGTCCTGTGAAGGACACTCACCCTGAGCCTCTGGGACAGGAAATCCTGCTAAACACTCACCCTGAGAATCTGGGTCAGGGCCCGAGATGGACACTCACCCCGAGTGTCTGGGACAGGGCCCAAGATGGACACTCACCCCGAGAGTCTGGGACAGGGCCCAAGATGGACACCCACCCCGAGAGTCTGGGACAGGGCACGAGATAGACACTCACCCTGAGAATCTGGGACAGGGCCTGCTGCTGCAGACGCTTCTTCTCTTGCTCTGTCCTTTTTCTGAGTCGGTCTCGGGCACGAGCGATCTCTGTCTTTGCCTCTTCACGTGCCTTCCCATAGTCCCGCAACAACAGCTCTATCTCAGAGGGGCACTGTGCCATTAGCCTCTTGGGCTGCGGGATCCTGGCAGCACACAGAACAGTGAAGATGGACAACAGGGCACGTCTGTATCTCCCAACATCGTCCCGTTGCTAAAAACGCCCTAAAGAGTGTAACTCTCTGAACTCTTATACAATCTGTCTACCTATATTTGGCCTTCTCTCTATTCTCTCAAATCTACGTTTTTAAATAGCTTTCATTGGATCTCCTATAAAACATCTTACGGAGAACAAAATGTCACATACTGTACATGCTTTAAAAAATCATTTTTTATATGTTAATGAATTATAATCAGTTAGTCATGGACTCGCCTCTTTTCTCTCCTCCACACCTATCCAGTGTAATACGCGTCCTGTCTTTTTTTATTAGTACCTTTAAAGTGTGGTTTTAATTCTTCTTCAATATATTTCATAAGTAACAGGCAAAACATCTAGAAAGAGCAGTTTATGATCAAAGCCAAGAATTGTTTTTAACAGAATAACTTCTTATGGTGATTACCTAACCTGTCATTGTTTTAAACACTACATCAGTAAACTGCAAAATGTAATTAATGGATTGATTTGCTCACAACACTTCATTGTATGACATCTAACAGTGACTCCCAACCTTGGTCCTGCAGGAACCCATGTCTTCTAGTTTATAATCCAGTCAAGTTCTTAATCACTGGCTCATTTGTGTCAGTTTTCTACATGTGGCATATTTGTAAATTTGCTTTGAGCTCCCAAAATGTCAGATGGGATATATAATTGATATGAACCTTGTATTAATTGCCAGATTTCACAACTGTCCTCATTCTGGTGTAATGCCTGAAATGTGACCATTTGCAAAAGCAGAAGGAAAAAAAATGCTCACTGTAAGCACAATGTTATTTCCATCTGTCTCATCTGTTCACCATGGAGAGACTAGTCCATGTCTGTTTAGTCAGCTTTCATAGTCAGGGCTGTGCAAAGCTTTGTGTGCTGAAGTTCTTTGACACAGTTGTTTGAAGTAAAGTATTTCTGACATTCAGGACTGACTAAAGAAACAAGTTAAACAAAAGTGTAAACAAGCACACAGATCAATTAGCACTGGGGATTTAGAGCTCAGCTGGAATGAAAACAATCCACCAGTGTTCGTTAGACATGAATCAAGTGCATTCATAGAAGTAAGTCTCCTGCATGCTGCTGTCTGCCTGTAATCATTACTTCAATCTGGCTACTTCAAGCTGTGCCCAGCACCCCCAGCCTCACACTGCCGTACCGGGTGCTGTCCACAACGCCCTGGCGTAACTGCTGCAGGTATTCCCTGTGCCGGCTGGGCGTGTCAGGGTCCTTCGGGAGCAGCGCTGCACCCTGTCCCTGGGCAAAAGGATGCTTGCTGGGGCTCAGGCTGCGGGCTCGTCTGCATCTCTGGAGCTGAGTCTCCCTCTCCTGTCGCAGCCCCTCAATGCTCTTCTTGTGTCTACAGACATGGGGAACACACAAGTCTTTAAAAAGTGCTGGCTATAACACATACAGAATCTGCCCAGTAGAGAGTGATCAATATGAAGCATCTATATTGCAAAACGAGGCTAGTGTGGAAACATGTCAGAAAAGCCGACAAAGTCATGTGAGAAAGTTATTGAATGACGATTAAAAAATGTATGTTTCTGGTTTTCAATTAATTGCGTAGCAATGTTCATGATATACAAATTTACAGACATGCAAATTGATTTAAAAACATAACTAATGGCTAAAGCGATCTTAATTTTTCATCCAGGTGTGATCAGAAATCAGATTTTTTTATGAACAAGAAAAGGTGCCATTGCAGATGCTGTTCAAATATGGGACTTGTGCAGTGGTGGACAACACTTCAAGAGTTTCTTTCTGTCCTGTTGTGATATTATTATTATTATTATTATTATTATTATTATTATTATTATTATTACTCAGCTGTTGAACAATAACAAAAAAGTAATAAAATCAAGAATCACCATCATTTGCATAAGCATTCTGTTTCGCATGTCTCGATATAATCTGAATTTTAAGTCTGAAGCGACCCTTTATTTGCCTATGTGTGAATATACATAGAAAATTACTATTTAAAATTTCAGTCCAGTTTGCCCAGGTGCTGCTGAGCTTCCAGACTGCTAAACACAGAGGATCAAAGAGAATTTTCTAGTTTACTCTGTCTAATTAACTTCTTGTCATCAGTTAAGAAACACAACTATAGCAAGAGACAGGAAAAGACAAGGTAGAAACAGAAGGAACACAGAGAGAGAAATGGAGAGAAGCAGCACTGTCTCTTGTTCTACATCCTTTGCAAGATCTTGTTCTGATTAATCTTGGAGACCAAATTCTGGCTAAGCATCTTGAAGCTTGTTCAAACGAGCTTGGTGTCTTTTATTTAGGGAAATTCTGATTTCCTTTATTGTGGAATCCCCTGGCTAAAATACTTTCTCTCCTAGTTAGGTATTGATCCATCCCTGTCCAGTTCTCTCTTGGGCATTCATGTTGTAGGAAGGGAGTTTTAGTCCTGAGATATATTCTTTTATTTGGGATGCAAGGTACATCTCTTGCTGGCATGTTGAGGCATTATATAGTGTTTCAGGTTATAGAGGTTAAAATGCTGGAGTTTCTGGGTCTGTAGAGTGCAGGCCTTTTGGACACCTTATTTTGTAAATAGTGTGATGCTTAATGTTGTGTAACATTGTGTCACTTAGTTTGAGTTACCTATTAATAAACATTTGTCCTTGTTTGCCTCTGATTTATTACGTTTTCACTTGAGCTGTGCCAGAAAATGAAGAACTTGCATACCTCGAATTATGCCTACTGCTAGGGTTTATTTATTCTAATTACTACTCCCATTTCTCTATTTTCCTCACCCCCGATTTGTAACAACATAGCTTACAATAGAAGTATAATGCACATACTTATTATTAGTCATATTTACATAAATTGAGTCTCACTTAACCCAGGCAGAGTGTTTATATTCCTTTATAAATATACCGTATAATTGCTACTGTCACTTTGTCAGCTTCAGCCTGAAATACAAGAGAACTATAACTATCATGAGCTTTGAAACCAGGCATGCAAAATAGAAAATAACAAAAGTATTAAGTGATTTGTTGAGATCAATGCTATTAAGATTAATTCATTTTCAAGAGAATGAAACATTTACAATTCAGAAAATTACATCTATGTTTAAATGCTTAAAATGAAAGTACTGCTAATAAGAGCTGAATTTTGCAAAGGGAGGGCTCACTCTTTTGGGAAAGGCAAGTTGCACCCTTTAATTTATCCTAAATATTAGAATCTGCACACCACGTTTTCATTAAAAAAAAAAGATGTTCACTTTTTAAAATCCTCTCTACCGATATATGATTTTATATTTGGTTCTTTTTCCAAATATTTCTGATTGATATTTAATTTTTGGTTCTATAATTTATCTAAAAAAATCAAGTTTTCTTTTAAAATTAAATTTAAAGAAATAAATGGGATAGTATCTTAAGTTGTCTTAAAAATGGCACAGTCTTTCTCCGTGTTATTTATCTTGTTCAGGCCAGACTACATTAGATATATTCTCCCTAGTCCTGTTCAGCTACCTCATTTGTTTAAGAAGAGGAAAGGACCTATCACCCTGTTTCTCATAAAAGGGTGTATCTAAAACAATACACCCACCTATCATACAGCTGCTCTTTGGTGGGCATTGGGCAGGACTCTTCAGCAGCCCCAGTGTGCAGCAGCTTCAGAAGAGTGTCTGTCTCTCCCAGGCCATAGTTGAGCTTGGCCTCTGTCAACTCCACTGTCAGCTGGTGAGGGTTCAGATCTAAGCGAACTGCTGCCATGACTTGTGCCCTCTCCTTCCGCAGCCTCTCAATTTCTCTGGCCCTCTCATCCTTTGGCTCTCTTGAATCCAAACAGCCACTAGCTATGCTACCAGATTTCTCCTTCTTTGTCTTCCTGGGCTGGGATTTCCCCAGCCCCATCACCACACTACTGTTCAGACTTGAAGGAGGTCGGTAGTGAACACCTGACCAGTTGGTAAACTTGTTGTGCATTGGTAAATCTTCAGGCAACCTGCAGTTTCCCTGAGAGTCCGGAGAGTCATCTGCCAGAGGGTTTATATTGAGAAGGACGTCTGTGTTGCACTCGCTAGGAGCCACTGACATGGTGTCATCATCCTGAAGATGGATGGCTCTTTCACTCATTTCAGAAGGCTCACATGGGCTCCTCCATCGCTCCCCATCTTCAGATGAAGTCTGGTATCCTTCACCACTTCTGTTATTTAGTTCGCATTCAGGGCCAGAAAACTGTTGTGGTTTCCTCCTGGGCTTTTCCTCCAGCTTGCTGGACAGGAGCTGACTTTCAGCTGGTTTTTGTTTTGAGAGAGCAAGGTTTTTTGTGTTCCCACTTTGTTGCCGAGACCAGGAAGACACCCTTGACTGTCTAGAACTCAAGTTCCCTATCTGGCACCCAGGAGGATGAGCAATACACTGGGACCTATTGACAATTTTCCTCCCATGTCCATCTAGAGTGTAATTTGATCTGTTGCCAGAATCTTGTTTTGTAAAGCCTCGCATGTGAACAGTATTCACAGAAGAGTATTTTTCCCTCTCTCCTGTACATGGGTTACTGAAGTTGTCTGCAGTGGAGGTGTTGGCGATGGGTCTATTTGCAAGCCTCTTACTTAATTGATTGCCATCATGATAATGGTCTTCTGACACTTTTTGCTCAGATGGGATTCTTCCATCTTTATGTCGGAATCCATACCATGAGGCTGACCGATTTCTCTTTTGCTGCCTGAAAGAGTCTTCTATGAACACTTTTTCAGACGTCTCGTGGTTTGCAAGGCACTGAACAGATTTGCTCCTAACCATACAAGAGTTAACTCCAGCCTCAACTGTTAGAATGGGTGAAGAAGCACGATCTATCAAACATACTTGTCTTGAAGATGTATTTCTGCATGGACTGTTGTGTACAGAATTTTCCCTTGGGTGCATCTGGTTGTCAGATCTAGTGAACTGTGAGGAACAACTGGTCATCCTAGAGACTTCCAGATTGGTGCCATCTTCTGATGCAGAAATACAGGCGGGGGATGTGACAGGAGAGATTCTGGGACTGAATGGCAAGTGATTCTGGTTAACAGTCTCTAGAGAAGGTGTTGAAGTTCGAATACTTAGTGGGACAGCACCCATTGTTGTTTCTGGCAGCAAAACAGCAGAGCTGCTCTTGCGTAGGTCTGGCATGCTTTGGATCTTCACCGCTGTCCTTTTTTCCTGGTCTTGCAAGGCTAGTGTAATGTCTTTGTTTTCCTGAGAAATGTCAAGTACCTCTGAACCTATCACTTTTACGATAACGCTGACTTCCGGTGGTTTTGTGCGTTCCTCAGCCAGCACTGTTTTGTTCGTTGACTTACTAGTTGATTTGAAGATTTTCTCTGTCTGAATGCCAACATCAACTGTAGTCTGTGTGGAGCTGTCCCTCCTTCTACTTCTCTCTGAAAATGCACCAAAGAGCTTAGGCCTGCTAGGTGTGAGGTGCGAGGCATCTTTGACTTGTACATTTTTTATATTTCCAAGCAGATCCGAGGTGTTATGAATAAGCTGAGAAAGATGGAAAGACATGTTCTGCAGGCTTGCCCACGAAGTAGGCTGTTCATCACCATTCTCCTCAGGTACTCTCTGAGAAACAGGTACCTGAGTGCTGCTTCTTTTGTGACGGTTTTTCTTTCTTTTCCAACAATCAGCTGAAGTCTGGGTGCCATGTTCACAGGTCAACCTAGGAGTGCCTTTGCAGGAACCTACTGTCGACTCAGGCTCTGAGGAATAGAGGACCATAATTTCATCGACTTGAATCGAGCTGTTGCCAAGATCTCCAGAGCCAATACTACAGCTCCCTGAATCCAGTACCTCTTGACAGGAAGGATAGCTGCCACCTCTATGGTTATATTCAAAGGTGTCTTGCCTCTGAAAGTCTTCCATGCTACTAAGGGTGCTGGAAATTCCTCTAGTGTTGGCAAAAGAGCTCAAATGGGAGTGAAAAGGAGAGTTCTGAATATTTAAGACATTGTCGACACTACAGCACCGTGCGACTCCTTGGGTACCACAGTCAAATGACTGGGAAGAGAAATCACTGACACTCCCAAACGGTTGATTTTTAAAGGTCACTCTGTTGGCCTCTTTCTCCTGCCATGGGTGGACAAAGGGGTTGATATCACTGGAACTAAAATGCATTGCATCCTTTACATCAGGCAGATGCACTCCTCCTTGATCTTGGGATTTTGAGTTTTGTCCCTGGTGATTAAGGTAGGGGTCTGATCCATCACCTATTGAACAACAAGGTAGAGCTTTTCTCTCTTCATCTGAGCTCACAGACACAGAGAGAGGCCCAACAGTTGTGTAGTCCTTTATTTTGTTTGTCGATAACTGAGCATTTTCTATTGAAGATGTCCTTTGAATTCCTGTTAGTATAAGGCTTGGCTTATGCTTCGTCTTAGCGTTGTGCTCTACACAACTACCTTCATTGGCTTCTGAGTTAGACTGTGCACACACAATACGGGAACTCTGGTGTGAGTTTGTGCTAGTTTCAAAAGCAAAGCCACCTTCATGGGGTGTCACAGAAATTACAGGGGATGACACTCTGTGTATATGTAGAAGAGAGCAACATTCTTCCTTGCAGCTATCCACGCTGTGCTTCTGAGCACCATGCCTGGACAAGGCCGCTAAGGGCCTGTCTAGAGATGGCTCCTCGGATAAACTGAGACTGGACTCTGGTGATGAGGAGCTCTCTTTTAGTGATGTCTGTGGATCAACTCTTTTCAGTTTCTGCTTTGTCTTGTGGTGGTCACCACTGTTGTCTTTTTTACACTGAGAGATTCTCGTCTGATCAGTGTCCAAGGAATCTTTTTGTCTTACACTGCTATAATGCACTTCAGTTTGTGATTCATGGCTTTCCATGGCACTATCACACTGTGAAGAAGAAAGCAACTTGGGTGGAATAATACTTTCCTCTACAGGACATGTAGTGGCATTGGCCACTAGTGTGCTACTTGTAGGTTGTTCACAGCTCTGTGTAGAATTGTCAGTTTGTGGACCACTCTCCATGATTTTTCTCTTAAAACTTTGTGTTTCTCCAATAATGTGGTCACCTGCCCTTTTCAGATGGTACTTTTTTGCCTGGGCACTACTGTGCTCTTCAGAGCCATGCCCACAAAGTAAAAGTAGGCTATCATTCTCTGCAGCACTGATGTGGGAGTCAGGAGATGAGCTGTTGTCTGCAGTCCTGGGGAGAGTAGCAGTCAGATCCAAAGAAACTGGTGAATCCTGTGCTGAACAAGTAGACTTGCTGGTCTCCTGAAGCCCAGTTGATCTGTCCTTCAAGCAGATTATTTCATAATCTGATACTTGAGAATTTAAAGATGCTTCAAAAACATTCAACACCTTAATATTCTCATCTAGACCTGGCTCCATAACATAAATACATTCTTTAGCTTCCTGGTTCTTATGGCTTGAGCAGTAATTGTGGGATGAAACCTGACTTTCAGGGAAATATGTAACAGGTGTTACATGGATAGATGGTAGTTTGTTATTAAAAGGCCTATTTTCAGCTTGGGTAATATTACCTTTGGAGTTGTGAATGTGACCTTCCGGGAACTGCTCACTGCTGATGTAAGCAGGACTAGTGATATGACAGGAACTCTGTAGTTCGTCTCGGTTTTCTTTGTCTCTCTGTTCTTCCATATTTTTCGAACTTCCTAGGTCCTGTCCTGGAGAGAACCACTGACCATTTTCAGCATTGCTATCTATCACTGACTCACCTGCATCCTGAGCAGGTATAATATTGTTCAAATCAGAGACATGGCATGAATTTATCTGTGATTTCCTTGGTGCTCCTCTTAAGATTTCTTTTCTAAGTACCACTTCAGATTCAGCTGCTAATAGGTTATCTTTTTTACTACTCAGGAGCACGTTACCAGCACAGCTTATTTTATTAGAAAATACATCACAAAAAGAATCGTCACTGTTAGTCCCTTCCTCCAGAGAGTTCAATGCATATTCACCACCATTTTTGGCCATGTCAGCACACCCATATTTTGCAAAGCTTTTGTACGATGAAGATTTCAGGATCCGATCAAATTCAATTTGAGCAGTGAAAGCTGGTGATTCTTCAGGCTCAGGCTTAGACTGTATCCTGAAATCTGTTGACAAAGAAAGTGCTTGGGAGGATCTGTTAACCATAGGCTGGACAGCCTGATCAAATGGAACCGTCCAATTTGACATCCTAATATCTAAATAATCTTGGGCACCTGGGCCATTCTGTGTATTGCTGCTTGACAGTGGCATAGAGGCATTCACATCCAGATCTCTCTTAAACTCCCAAGAATATTCTGGGTTGGATGAACTGGCGACATTTTCTAAATAGCAGCCTTCTGGTTGTAGTTCAGCTTCCCTGACACCCTCTGGTCTATCCAAGTCTTGCTCTCTGTGATCTAATGATTCATTCTTAGTGACATCTACAAAAGGACACAGAAGGTCTTCTGATAAGTATTCTTTACTTTCCTCCTCACCATCTCTTTCCCACTCCGTTATACTTCCTGTTCCTCCTCTGAATTCCTGTGTTCCTTCTATACTTCTCTTTTCATCTGAGGTATTGCTTTCCGCGGTTTGCACTGAAACAGGTTTTAATCTGGTTAGAGTGCCTTCAATATTTTTTCTAAAACTACTGCTGACTTTACCCGTGAATTTTGTTAAGTGTTGGAAATCCTTCTCAACAACACTAGAGATCTCTTTTGCTTTCTTTGTTGCATAGCCCAAACCTTGAGACTCATTTCCTTCTGGGGCTTTGGGGTGGCTCTCTTCTGTCTCTTTTGAGTTTGAGTCTGCAGATTCTTGGTTGTCGCCCTGTTTTGAAACGCCATGCTTTTCTTCTGCTGTCTGCTGAAACACATTTGTACTGCTATTTCCACTGTTTCCAATCTGAACGTAGTTCATCCTTTCAGAAGACTGGGGTTCTTTCTTTTTCGGAGTGTTTTGGTCAGGCTTGTTTTCCCTGTCATGTCCTTGTGTCAGACCTGCTATGTCTTTTTTCACCTCCAGGACTTCTTGGTCCTGGGAAGAAAGTGGTAAGCTGGAAAGATCTTTGCCCTCAAGGTCAAAATTTGCCATATCAACTCTGACGTATGCATCTTTAAGGACACAAACAAGAGGAGAATGTGATGTTTGGAAATGTGAATGGCAGGGCTGTGGAGAGCTACACAAATCATCAAGATCATTTTCTGGAGAAGCACAAGAATCACAACTGTCCAAGGAAACAAGATTCCCTGCAAGAGGGGGTCTGCTTTCTCTTGAGAAAGGACGGAGTTCCTGTTCACTCAGGACTTCATGTTCGCTATGATGATTTGACTCACTGCAACCCATCACCACCTCATGTTCCCCCTCTCTTCCATGAATAATGCCTTCCTTGCTCTCTTTCATTAAACAGTCCATATGTTCTTTCACTACTTCAGAGATCTTCTGGTCAACTGAAAAGCAGGCAATCTCTGGGGTTTCTGACTTGGAATGTTTTAAACCTGATGTGCTTCCTTCTTTGTTAATCATCATTTGAATCTTGTCTATGTCCTCTCTGCTTTTTAGAGTCTTGTTTCCATTTTCTGGGTTTGCCACTGAAGATTGTTTCTTCGTTGGTGCGAGCTCTTCCTTCTCACACTCCAGTACACTTTGAATTCTGCACTGCTCCCCACGAACATCCTGAATTTCACCAGGATCTGTTAGTGTTTTCTGGAGAAGACTATAAGGTCTACTAGTGGTGTCAGACTTTTGACTGTCACTTGTAGTTGCAGTTGCTACCACCCTGGTTACTCTGGGCATGTCTTCTTTGCTACACTCACTTAATTCATTTTTTTTTTCAGTGCTATCTAATATCACGATGCAATCCTTTCCAGTGACTTCTGCAGATACCTGACTGTCCTGTACAATAGTACGACAGTTCAGAATATTCACTCTTTCTGTAGTTTCCAGATTTGTCTTTATTTTACTACATTCCACTGGGTTTTTCCAGCTGTCTTTTCTAAATTCTACTGTAGTATTTTCCAGGTGGGACACCTCAGGAGCTTTATGTTCTGATGTGTTGGAGCTCTGACCATCAATTCTAGTTGTATACATTATGCCTGGACCAGGCTTACACTGCTTCTCGGCTTTTCCCATTGAATCATCTTTGAGTTCTTTTGACTCGCAACTGCCTTTCTCTTTACTCTTGGAAACATCCTCTCCCTTGACTTGTGTTCTATCCAAGCTACTCTGCAGAATTTTACACTGTGTCTTATTCTGCTCTTTTGGGTTTTCCTTCATTACAGCTTTCTGTGCACCTTCAAAGTTCCTAACTCTTGCCATCTTTTCCTTTACTTGCTGTATTTCACTGCGACAGAGAGCCAAATTGACAGGTGGAGACTCTTGGTACTTCTCTTGTGACAGTGCATTCTTTTGGTCTGCATCTTCCTCATTATTACTCTCCAGTGGGGGTGTGACTACGTGTGACCCTAAAGAGAAATCACAAGCAGCAGGATGGAAGGAATCGATCTGGTCTTTGCCTGTTGAGGTATAATCTGGACTTGCTACATTTCTTGAAGTCATGGGAACGACTCCATTATCCTGCAGATTCCCAGTTCCATTCTGCAGTTCACTCATTGCATCCTGAAAGTATACTTCCTTAACGATCGGACTGCTTTGATTACTGAGACAGTTAATATTAGAGTTAGTGTTAACTTTCATGCTGACCTGAGGGCTCGATCCACTAAATACTGTATTAGAATGAGATTCATGCCACAGAAACCTTTCTGTCTCTTGTTCATGGGATGATAATGGAGAATCCATGCTCTCATCTATGTTTACATCTTTAAAGGTCCATTGAGACTGTATCTGCCATGCAATTTTGGTGATCAATTGAGACTGAGGAATCACATCATTATCCTGTGCACTAACATGTTTTTGAATTGCTTTTTCTGATTTAACTGTACAATCACTCCTCATTTTACTAGTGCCTCCAGAAACAGATTGGTTGTCTTCATAAGAGGATTCTGAAAGATTGCCACTGCTAGAATGTGAATGAGTATCACCAGCAGGATCAATGTACAGTAAGCCTGAAGAAATAAAAGCATGTAAATGATCAGAATGCTCCATTGAGACTGTCCTGTTTGATGCCTGGAGGTCATTATTGCTGGAACCAAGAGATGGAAGGATCACTGAGGAACATGTGAGCTTTGCATGAACCTCTTTCTCAGGGTGATTCTCTTTCTCCTCAGCACAGTTTGAATCAGAATTGAATTTTGTAACTTCAGATTCTATGACAGGAACCTCTTTTGCTGTCGATCTACATTCTGCTACGGCTGAACATTTTTCATTTATTCCAGGTTCAGAAGTCAAAAGCTGCCCCTGTAGTGCAATCTCATTTCCGAATGAAACTGGAATCGATGGCAGAGTCTTTGATTTCAATGTATTGCCCAGGATGGTTTCCATGTTCGTGCAATACTCTAAATCCCAGTAACTTTGTTCCTTTAGGGTTGTGTTACTGTCTAATGTACAGGCATTAGATATATCTCTTTCAAATCCAGAACTAAGCAGACTACTCATTGAATCTGACAATTCAGCACCTCTCTTTGGGCTGCCCTTTACCATGTTGGCAACCTCTTGATTTGTATCTTGAAGAATCCTGGGGCTTTCATTAGTCTCAGATGAAGACCAGGCATCTGTAAGAGCCAGCAAACTTTCCTCCTCTCTGGAATATGTCCGCCAATTGGCTGATGATGGACATGTTTTCAAACAGGGATCATCTCTCAACTTACAAACCCTCTCTCCAGTTTCCTCCTTAGTTTCTCCTCCTTGGTAAAACAAGGGCTTCATCTGCTGCAGAAACGCGTTTTCCTTAAGAGCTTTGGTATTAATGCCAGCTTTTATTCGTGGACTCTGGCGTTTCCAGTAAATTTCAACAGGCATTTCATCAGATGTAGCAGAGCCAAGGGGGGAAAAGTTAATATCTCTTTCTTCATCACCAGCCAGACTATCCAGTGAGACTCTTCTCGCTTGCCAGGAATGAGAGTTACCTGCTGAATATGGGTTACCGAAAAATGAACAAGGTTCTGTATTTGACAGAGCCACCGCTGGTCTCTCAGATTGCTTCCTTTCTCCATTGGTCACCAAGGAGTCTTGTGACATCTGGCTGTCAATGCTCTCTTCATCGCTTTGTACCAGCTGGTCTGCGTCTTCCTGTTTTAGTTGCTCAGCCAAGGCTTTGGTATATGCTGATGAAAGGGAATCCAGCGAGTACATGCTGTCAGAATCAGAGGACCTTTCTTCTTCATTCTCCTCACCCAGCTCCCAACCTGTACCCTGTCTGATTCCTCCAGTCAGAAAGTCTGCACTATGCCAGCGCTTATGCCAGCAGTCTGCTCCAGCCTTGCTAAGATGGTCCAGATCTTCACAAGATGCCATTTTGGTGAGGCACTTCTCTGCAGTCTTGCTGTCCAAACTCTTAGTCAACTTGCAACTTATTTTTTTAACAGACTTAGCACCTCTATTTATAAATATACCTGTGGGTGGTTTTCTAAATACTCTAGACAGTGCAGTTCTGATTCCTGGACTTACTGATTGTGAAAGTGCTTTTCTTATTCTTTCCAGGCCTTTATTGCCTTTTGTAGAAATCCTTGCTCCCTTGGATGAGCTCCTCGTGGGCTCCTGACATTTTGTTTTGCTGCTTTTGGATAAAGCTCTTCCTTTACCTTTGCTGGAATCTGGGCATGGAGGAGTTGTTTGCTGGGATTTCTGGTTTCCCACTGAACCCATTTCACATCTCAAAACCTGACCAAGTCCTGTGGTGGATGTCTCAGAACAATTCCTCATCCTCTTTGCAGATGCTGCTGGAAGGCACTCTTCAGACAGCCATTTCCGTAGGGCAGAAGACTTAAACTGACCAGAGGGAGGAGGTAGCTCAGTGGACTTGTTCCTTGCAAGGAAATGGCTGTGGAAAACAAAGGAGAGCATTATCACATTTTAATGAGAACTCGAATTTCAAAGTTATTTTTAAGGTCAGATTTTTCCTTTCTTCAATGGGGAATAAATGCAAGCACTACTAATGGACTAGGACAATGATTCAACTAACGCTTCAGAGAAATATGGAAAAAAATAGGAAAAGGTTTCTACATCTGCAGTAACAGATATATGTACTGTCACCAACCAACTCCAGCCATGCTAAATATACTAAATTATGATTCATGTCTCCGCTAGGTTTATCGAAAGCTTATTCATCCAAGAAATTGGTATTTGAGTTTTGTAGTTAATTGATCTATTTAAGATACGAATGGAAACACGAATGGAAACACTTATTTAAGTAATGTTATGTAAATTGTACAAACAAGTAGGCTTACTTTGTCTGCAACTGTATAGTTTCTTATTGAAATGCTTCTGTAAATGATTTATAGCAGTAAACAAAACCATCTCTCTGCTTCAGTTTCACGTCAGCTAAGGTTACAGCATTGAGGTGCAAGTTGGCCACACTTTTCTCAGGGCCTTGATTTACTTTAGGAGAGCAGTTCGGTTCTTCATTGGAGGCGGCTCTAACCTGTGTCACAGGAATAGGTGAGTGAACTACATCCAGGTCAATATATTCTGCCAAGGAAGATTTAAGTTTGCTAACTTGTTAGATCTCCTTGTGCTGTAAGTTTCACAAGTTGACACTTTTGGTCAGCTTTACTTTAGGACTGAAGTTGGACATTAGAATTTATCTCAGAGAAAATCCGGAAAACTCACTCCATGGCTTGAGACTCAGTGACCTGAGGTTTAAGACAAACGAGGCTGAGCTAAGAGCCTTATCCACCTCTGTGTTTCTCACTAAGCACTTATGAAAGGAAAGGAGGCAGACCTGTAGATGGGGGTTTGGTTGGGATAGAGACGGGAGAGCAGATCCGCGGAGAAGGAGTGCCGGCGCAGGAGAGGGACTGCTCCTCCGAGCTCGGTCGTGAGATCTGGAGATGTGGGGCTCTCCCTGCTGAGGGCAAAGGCACTCTCCAGTTGCTGCAGTTCCCTCTTGGCTTCCAGAAAGTGCCGCTTGCGGGCAATCTTCTCAAGCTGGTATCTTAGCCTCTTCCTGCGAACCCTAAACTCCGACCTGCGGAGCGCATGGTGCCGCAGCAGCTCCTGCTGGACCAGCTTCTTCCTCTTGCCAAGAGGGGTCTCACATACCCCTGACCCTTGCATGACCTGGACCCCAGCCTCCGAGCCCCAAGTGGGGTCTGTCTGCACTCCCAGCTCACTTGTTTTCCTCTCCTCGTTGGCCAGCCGCTGTGACTCCTGCTGAATCCACTGCTGATCTGCAAGGAGAAGAAAAAAGAGCAGACGAATTAGACACACATTAGGGACTCAACAATCAGAATTAATTTCTACAATTTCATTACACTTTTATCCATCCATTTTCAAAGACCTTTATCCAATACAGTATTGCAGGGGAGCAGAAATCTATCTTGACAAGCAAAGGGTCCAAGGCAGGGTACACCCGGGACGGGATGCCAGTCCATTGCAGGACAGACAGGCACAAACACAGACTCACACCAGGGCCAATTTTCCCAGAAGCCAATTAAACTACCAGAATGCTTTTGGAACGTGGAAGGATATCGGAGCACCTGGAAGAAACCCACACAAACACAGGGAAAACATACAAACTGCATGTAGACAGAACCAGAGGAATTGACTCCAGGGTTCTAACCAGTGCAACAAAATGGATGAATGGAAACGCTATTAAATCAAGTGGATCAACTGTACTTTGAATGTGAACACACTGACTGGAATGTCTCAATATTATTAGTATGATTCTTTACTTTTGGTGAAACAATGGTTTTCTTTTGTGGTGTGCTGCTGAGTTAATAGGAACCGCTCACCCTGAAGTTTGTGTGGGACCCAATTGACAGTGATGGGGACACTATACTGTAAAAAAGGCGCCGTCCTTCGGGTGAGACATAAAACAGAGGTCCTGACTCATTAAAAAATGTCAAAAAGATTATGGAACGTGTTACCCAGGTTTACAGGCCAAATTTCCCCCCGGACCTTACAAACCATGGCCTCCTAATTATCCCCATCTAAGAACTGGCTTCTTCATTCTGTTCTCCTCACCACTGATAGTTAATGTGTGGTGAGCGTACTGGCACATTATGGCTGCTGTCACATCATCCAGGTAGGTCCTACACATTGGTGGTAAAGGAGGGGAATCCCCATTACCTGTAAAGCGCTTTGAATAGAGTGTCCAGAAAAGCACTATAGACGTGTAAGGATTATTATTGTATTTGGTTTGTGAAAATAATTAAAATTAATCAGATTCTGTACTTAGCTGAATCTGAATGTGAAATGAGGCCTAGGGATCCTGAACAAACCCCAGAACTGAACAGCACATCCTCCAGAGAGAGGCCGGGCCTTGCTGCACGAACTGCATCAGGGGACGTGTGTAGAGAGGCCGTCCTTACTGTCCCTGTGCTGCTGCTGGAGGTGCGCCTGCTCCCACTCCAGGTCCCTCTCCGCCCTACGCTGCGCGGACTGGATCTCCTCCCGCAGGCTCTGCACGTAGCGCTGCTGCTCCGCCAGCTGCCGCCTAGGGGCGCCCCCCGCCCCAGCCTCGCTCCGTTCCCAGCAGCCCCCTCCTCCGGCCCTGCAGAGAGCACAGCAGGTGAGTCGCTTCGTTTATATAGCTAGACGGAGTCAACACAGCTGTACTACATGTAACAGAGTCTGCATATAACACATACTGTACATAAACTTCCAGTAACTAACATTCCAAAAAATATCGAGCGGATTATATCCAAATCAGTCTGTTAATGATCATCGGAACCTCCAAAGGACCTTACATTGAAGTTACTGGTAGAGAGTCTTTTATTGCTTATCTTCATTTAAGCATTTTAAGAAAACGTATTCAATGTAACCAAGATAACAATATCACATTGAAAAATTAGTTATGGTTTTAATCATAGATTACACCACTAATAGGTTGAGAGGCTAACAGACACTGTGTACAATCTTGAGTTTTACAGAATACACCAGTTTGCTTCAAAACAACTTTATTAACTTGTGAATCGAGAAACAACAGACGTCAATGGAACACAATCTGTTCACAGCACTCAGTGTGCTATACAAGTGAAGATTGCTTTAAGAAGAACAATAATCTCTGTTTTCAGTGTTAATACGATGTTGTAACAAGAAACCGATCAAAAAGGCAACTTAACTGCAATACATTTTTTATCTTATCCAACTTTACTAACTACTAGATTAATCACTCTTGGTTGCTGCATTTTGTATAACTGAACCCTGAGATCACTATATATGTGCCTGGCAACTAATCCACAGGCAGTGATTCAGCAAGAAAAATAAACTAAATGAAGGAAATAACTTTAAACAGCAAGATATCCTGTGATTAAGAACTACTAATCTGTTCAATAACCTCGAAGCATATGTATGCTATAAAGTTCCTGATTTTTCCACAATGTTAAATTTTAGACTTTTTTTTAATTACAAGTCATTATTATAGGTTCCATATCCATCAAAGTAAACAACAAAACAATACATTTAAGTTCTATACCAAATACATGCATGGTGTGTTCTTCATTAGTCAAGACAAAGCAACATGGTGTACAAGTCCGATAATGAGCAGTATTACAAGAGAGATAATGTTAACACTAGTTAATGTGCCATACGTTTGCTGATCAGGAACATGGGGGCTTGTATCATACTGTATTTCCTAGTAGACTTCTTTGTTATTATCAGTTGCTAAGCTGTTCTGATTAAGTCTCTTACTGCAATTATCAAAGTGTATTTACAGAAAAGAAACTATCCACAAGAAAAGGGTAAATAACACTTACTGTATAAGAATGCACATACCAGTTCTTAGCTTCATGACATATACCTTACCTTCACTAAATGGAAAGCTCTACAGGCAAATATCCAAGTTTGGACAATTGTTATATCCTCTGAAGACAGACTCGCGCATAGGCTGAATTTATTTGTATCATGTACAAAGGCAGCACTGGAAGGTAACTAAGCAACCTCTCAGTTAGACGTCAAAACCAAGGCCACAGTAGTTTCCTAGGGACTCAGGCAGGGTTCATCAACTGCATAGATTTTCACAATACTTGCATTTTGCACAAATGAAACAGGAGAGCACAACATTTGGCAGTATACTGACTCCACACATTCTCCTGTGCAAATATATTGAAAATGCTCTACCATGTTTGAAATTACATACCACCTACATTGCCTACTGAAAGTCTACACATCAATTCCAATGCAAAACATTTTGTGGCCTAACCCTCTGAAATTAAGACATATTAAATCAGAATTTATTTTACCTTCATTTACACATTGTAACACACAACCTCCGTGTTATAAAGAAATGTTCCAGCACTCTGAAAAGTCATTAAAAATAAAAAACTAGAAAAACTAGAGTTAAATATTTCTGAAATTCACAAAGGTGCTAATTCACTTTCACATGCCCTTGCTTCCCAGTGGCTAGTTACATATGTTTTAAAATTATTTCATTTCATTCAGCCAGAACTAAACAACCCAGATTAAATTGAAATGTTATCTCATCGAAAATGAAATGACATTTCATCTTAACAGGTAACACAGTTGTTTAAAATTGGATTCATTTGCCTTAGAAATGGGAGAAACAAATTGAATGGACGAGTAAAATGCTAATTTTGCTGACAATTCTAAGGTGTTTGGGATAGGCTGATCTCCCTCCTTCTCACTCCTTTACCCTGGGCTTTGTGACTGGATTCTCAGCCATGACAGCTGGGGACACCTGCTGGACTGCAGAAGCAGCCAACACAACGGGAGCTGTTCTGAACAGAAGTGCCAGGGCATACCTCTCAGCTCCTGTGCATGTTTCAGGTCGCACTGTTGCCTCTCACTGGGCACTGGCAAAATTCACCATCCATGTAACAAACTGTAGACAACACCAGCTTGCGCTGACAGAATCATGAAGTGTCTTTAACACCGACCTGTCAGTTACTGCTACCGTAGCTCTACCTAGTATGAATTAATGTTGGTTTACTGCTTGTTGTTTTTCAAACATCAATAGAACAGTGCTGCAGCACAATGGTGAAAAGCCATTCTGAATGATACAAAAATCCATAAGATAATACTGACAACTACAGTGGTTACTGATAGCAATCCAAAGAAGGTTTTGAGAGAAATAAATAAAAATAAAAACATGTTGCTTACCCAGAGTCTTCAAGACCCTTCCCTGGAGGTGCCAGGACAGATTCTCTCCTGCTATAGAAAGACAGGCGAATTTTACTTTCACTGTAAAGTCTTTGAATCCAAGGCTGTAATGCTTATTATGTGCAATGTATTCTAACAATGCGTCCAATGCAATTTTATTCTATGTATTAGACATGCAATTTCATCTTTGATATTGCTCTAATAATAACGCTGGAGGTCCTATATATTGCTGATCTACGTATAGCCATAGGCTCTTTTAATAAACCAATCTAAAAGATTTAAAGGGCAGTGACACAGTATAGATTAATAAAGGAATTCTCAACTTCATCACAATGTGGCCAAACAAATGGAATCTAAATGGAGAACGAGACATGCTTGTTTACAAAAAAAGGACTGTGGGAGGAGGGAACAAACTACCTAGATATTGTCAAAGCTGATGCCCTTGTTTCATTCAAGAACAGTCTACTGTCAATGGGAAGCCCCTACAAATACAGGAGTACAAATGTGTGCACAAGCTGTTGTACCTACCTGTCCCAGGGAAGACTGGGTCTAGTCTCAGGGTGGCGGGACAGAAGCTCTCTGGAGCTGAGGAAAACCTCACTGGTCTGAAGGAAGAGAGAACTTTGTCAGATCGCTGGTCACTCATACAGTCCTTTTAATTATCCCACTTTGGGGAAAAAAGGCACTTTTCAGGCATGAAACCATTTGTTTTCAAATGTCTTTCTAGCAAGGAAAAAAACAGATGCCGTTTATTTTTGTAGGCAAGGACTGTATGAGTGTTTGAGTAAAAGAGTCATATGACATGAAAATAAAAACAAAATATGAAGAACATGAGAAAACTATAACAGCAATAAACCAAAGGAGAGAGTAATATAAACCTCCACAGCTGTCTAGGGGATTAAAGGGTATCTATTTACCAAATGTAGTCAAACTCAGTCAGCTACTGCTACAAATACTGTACCTACATTACCTAATTCACATGTGAAGCAATATGAAACAAATGAGAGCTGATTCTCATCTAAACACTATGTGAGTTTCAAGCAGACAAAACAACAACAACCTTCAGCTTTGTCAAAAGACTCCAATTCTACAGTAATGCGGAGTGGGCTGGGTGCCCTCCGTGCCCTGGCGGGCGATGGACAGCCCCTCACCTGTCTCCGCTGCCGCAGGATGGCCGCCTCTGCCGGGTGGTTGAAGCGGAACCGGTGTCCCCCCCCCAGTACAATCACTGCCCCTGGGGAGACGCATGAAAAGCAACACTGCAGGCGCGGTGTGAATTGGACGCACGGCGACGACGAGCGACACGATGCCGAGCCCCTGGAGCACGTCATTGATCACAGCTGACCACGCTCGGATCGGGCAGGCCAGCAGGCTGAGCACTTAAGAGCAACTAGATACATGCTGGCTGCATTACGGGAATGACCATCACTGACAGGCTGAAGGACCTGATCCATTTTTAGTCTTGATGAGAAAAGATCTTGATGATCGACCTGAGACAAGTAATCAAAACCATCCATGGCTATAACCAAATCAATCTAGTAGCGGTGCAGTGTAACATGAATCAAAATTAATTAATTGGAAGTGCATTTAAAAATCAAGAACAGGAGACAACTCTTTACCCAAAGCGTTGAGGGAGTATGGAATAACCTTCCTAGCCGTCTAGTTAAAGCTGGTACTCTTTAGGCTTTTCTTGAAGGCTTCCTTCAAGAAACTGCTAGATGAGATCCTTAGATCAATTGCCTACAAACTGCCAAACAGGTGAGGTAGTCTGAATGGACTCCTTGTGTTAGAAAGCATTCTTATTGAAAGAAACAGATTGCTAATTTTCTTAGTAAATACTAAGCTGTCAATTGTATTTCCAAGACAGATTAAAAAATAGAGTGTTTTGATTTTTGATTTTTTGGAAAGCCAATTTTTATTTCAAGTCTATACAGTATATTCCTGCAAGAAGAATGGAAGCGTTTCTGTTACGTAATTCAAAACATGATCTGATTTTGTAAAAAACGTCCTTGATGAAATGCAAAAAAGCTGCCTAGTGATTCTGGAAAAAATAAATGTGAGGCAGTAGAGAGAAACAAAACTGTATACTTTTTTTCTGTGAGTTGTAAAAGTAAAATGCTAGAAAACCAGTAAAAATCCTTGAAAAAAACTACTGAGGGAAGATGACAGCTTAGAACGCAGAAGTGAAGAAAAGTGTGATGGACCAACTTAAGAGAGGCGGCAGGAAGTGGTTACCTTGGGCCAGGCGGCTTGGTTCTGTCACCTCTCGCTCATTCACTACGCAGATGCACCCTTTCACAGGCCGCAGGGTCACGACCCCTCCCTCGTTCACGATCTCACAACACACTCCGTCCACGGCCGGACCCTGCAGAACTAAACAACCCCCAGGACAGTTCATAAGACCTGGATGAAGCGGGTCCCATTCCCAACTTGTGGCAAAAGGTTGCACAAGGGGTTAACACATCATAAACACTCCAATTCCCAAACTGACAAAAAAAGTTCTGCAAATTGGTGGTAGTGAGAAAGAGATCCTCATTCGTGTGTTCAGAAATGCAAATGGTGACACTGGAACAGCAGAGGTAATTGTACCCCTGGGAAATACAAGGCAAGAGCTGGGATTTTGGATTTGCTTAAACCATCGTACCTATGTGAGCTTCATCTTGTTCATCATTTGATCCAATTCTGGTCACTCCTTCCTGAAACAGAAACAAAACTGTGAGGCTTAAAGAAGAACACAATGAAAAGACATACCATAAATAAATGTTAAAAGCAAACTGGATTAACACATTATGTTTAACAAAAGCCTTAGAAGTGTACTAAATTCAAAACTATAATCTTCCTTATTTACTTAAGTACGGGCTTGATGTATTGTGTATAATTGAAACCTTTCCAAGTGTGTCTTTGCCAAATTCAGTCACATTGATTACACATTGATATATTTTCACAGAAATTAGGTGAAATGTATTCACTTTCTGCAAAGAACAAAACATTTTGCATTTTTTTTATTTGATAGAATTGTAAATTTTTTTATTCCAAAATATGAACTGTGTAAAATGAAAGTATTATTAAATTTACACTAAAAAGCTTTCTTCTCACTTATCAGTATCATCTTCTTGCAAAGGATCTGAGAACACCCCTCATTCACACTGCTGTACTCTACTCTCAAAACTGACCTCATGCTTTTCAGTTAGTACCTCAATTTAGTGTTCCACCACCCCAGAAAACCATTTCTGTTTGCTGTGGACAGATGGTTAAACATGCTTCACAGTACCATGAAAAGATGGAAAGGGCAGAAAAGAAGACACAGAGAAGCAAAGCAAGAGCTACCTGATGTCCAGGCTACATTACCTGTGGTCACACCTGAACGTTTGGAAAACAGAGCGAATCGGGAAGAGAGAGAGAGAGAAGACAATCTACTTGAAAGACAAGCAAGAGACGGCACTTCGTTAGTGACAGAGAAGGCAGAGTTCGGACGTACTGCTAATGAAAATGGCTTCAACGCATAAAGTGTTTTGGGATACATTAGCACATTATTGTATTATTTTTCACTCAACAGTATGGTACTTTTGCTACAGTTAACTGCTTTAGTAAAAACTCTTTAGTCAGAAAGAAATTAACAGAAATCTCTTTGTACATCTACTGTATGAATGAAGCAAATAGACTGACTGAAATTCATCATGGCACAAAATGATCCTAATGTGTAATTTATTTCCAACATAGTAATTTGCCTTAATATTATGCCTAATAAAACATTACACATATTCTAATGCAAAATTATTCAAACATTCAAAACCAGCACTAAGTACAGAATGGTGCCCTCAACTGCAGTGTGAGGAAAATTGAATCTGGGTAGGAGTGTGCGTGTTCCACCCCCTGGTCTTTACTCCTGTCCTGTTCACATGAGGACATGTGTCTCAGTTTTAGCAGCTTGGAAGGCAGCTTGATAGCTTGGAAGGCTATCATACGATGCCAAGACTGATGCCACATCAGCTTCTCTCATTTCTTGAATTGTGTTACAATCAGGAAATAAGAAAAATAAGCAGAGCAAATATTGAAAAAATTTGAAAAAAATGAAAAACTACTAGTACACTGCTCTTCAGTAAAGGTTAATATTTCCTAAAATTGGATTATATAGTACATACTTGGGAGAGAAAGCCATGAAATACAGGGTAAGGTATTCATTCAAAGCACAGGAAGCTGTTATGGTTCAAGCTGTGCCATTAATTGTCAATAGTAATTCTCCTGCCAAGCACTGTGTGACACACAGCATGAACCATGGCTCTGATGTGCACAGACGTACTGGAGGTTAGCATGCAGGCCCTCTATGGTGCATAAGGGACTGACAAAAATGCTGGGCTGAGGCTTTACACCACCTGGCATCATACTAAAACAACAGGCTGCTACTGTATAAGCCCGAACATACTGAGAACCCTGAACTCTTGACCAATAGCTGTGCAGCTCAGTGATATCCAATGACTACCACTGTCAGGCTCACACCTCCAGCGATAACCTTAAATAACGTTTCTGATATTCTGAAATACTGCTTAAATAATTTCTCATCTTACACTAACTCTTAATTCCAATACTACTCTCCGAGCTCTTTCCCTTAGACTTTCATCATAATAAAAACCTTTTTCATCATCTTGTTCCGATGTCTCCAAGTCTGACTCTAGATTAAACAGCACAGTAAGGAATGGGTTGCTTGGGGGTATTCCCACAAGAGGAAGTAGACACAAATGCAGATGCAATTTAATGCACATGATTCCTGGCCTTACAGTAGTAACATATGGTGAACAGCAGTTCCAAATTGTTAGATATAAAGGACAATTATCAATACCAAATTTAGACACCCAAATAACAGGATGAAATGACATTTCTTATAATTGCTACTGAGCAGTATGAAAATTGATCAACTGTTTCTGTTTTCTGCAGTACTCACAGAAAAACTAATCACTGTTCTGCAAGGGAAGGACAGAGTCTCTGTACTTAAGGCAGCCTAACTTATTCTGAATTGTCAAGGCACCAAAACACAAACCCTTAGCAGTTCCACAGCAGCACAGGCAGGCCAGACAGCTCCTTACCCTGAGGTGGTAGAGCGTGACGCCAGTGCTCAGGATGTCCCCCTCCAGGGCGATGAGGTGAGGTAAGTGGGAGTCTATCTGCACTCCGGCCCTGTCCCTGTTGATGTCCACTCTGTACTGCTCCAGCAGCTCCTGCCTGTCCCGCCACTTGTTGCTCCAGTCCTTAGTCAGCTGCTCGATCTAGATTGAATCACACAGGACAGTCACTCACAGCAGCGTCTGTAAAAGTACCCTAAACAATCTTCCTCTTTGACATTTCACTTGACAGCAGCTTCTCCGTGGAAAATACAGCTTCTGTTTTTAGTACTCTCACCTTCAGTTCGTTCTGCAGCACAATGTCTGAGAGGTTGCCATCCCTGTCTTCACTGAAGGAGGGGCTAGGGTTCCGCTGTTGAAGAAGGAGAGCAGAGCTGAGTGCCGCACAGCAAGGTTCAGCACAGGCTTATTAAAGCACCAAGAAACTAACGAGGTGCAGCAGCACAGAGACATAAACTGATAATCTAAGAAATTAATGGCAAAATAAGATTAGGCTTAAAAAACAAATGTAGAACCTGAAGCAACATTTCTGAACTACAGATGGAAGACTGATACAAGCTGATGGGTGCAGTATGGAGGGCTTCGTAGAGTGGTGAAGAAGTGGTGTCGCAGTCCAGTACAGAACTCAAATACAGCACAAGAGCTGTTTGGCAGCAGTCATAACTGCCACAGCACACTTTAAGTCACATTGGTAAAATCTGGTGTTTATTAAGCAGGACAAATTAAAGCATATGAAAGTAAAACATTTTATCACATAATCAAACTGCAAAGAATAAAATAATTATTGCAGTTATTCTTTTAGTGCAGTAGTAATATCAGTAGGGCTTCAGTGAAGCAAAATTGCAATCTAAAGAACAAGATGAAAGTTTAGAGAAATAGCTAATGGCAGCAATTATATAGTAGAAAGCAGACAAAGGAGATAATAGGACCACTTTCATCAAAATGGTAAAAGTCCTTAATAAACCAGCATCCTTCTTCTCGTAAAGAATACCATTTCAAAGCTCATCAGCATGGCCTTCAGTCTGTCAATCTCCTCACGCAGCTCTCTGATCAGTTTCACATTGGCATCCTGAAGAGAACAGACAACTATTGTTCAGTCCCACTCTTTTCAGTCAGTGTGGGGTCACTACAAAGAACAGAAGTCTACAGTATGCTACCACAGGAACAAACAGAGGTCAATCCTGCTGAAAATCTGTCCTGGCCTCTAGACAGGTGTTCAAGAGTTTAGGTATCTTTTTGTCCTTCATATCGTCCCCCTGTATTTGGAAAACTATTCAGTATAGCCCAGAACCCACCTGGAACTTTACAGAACACAAGTGATGGAGTGGAGTTTATGTGCAATAGTTCCCTAACACAGGCAGGGATGTTCTGCATGTACTTCAGTGTACATACTATATACATGCTCTTTAAAGTTGCTGTATGTTGTGTGTGAATCTGTACACTTTTGAAATGAAGAAACAATGAAAGTGCTGATGACAACACGCAGATCACGGAGGCTCACCTCGTTGACGCGGGGCTTGTTCACAATATTTCTGGCGTGGGCGGCGTAGCGCAGTGTGCTAAGTGTCTCGCTGTAGCTTCTGCTGGAGGGGGAGACGGCTGGCGTAGAGAGGGAAGTAAAAGGCCAGTCAGAAGAGTGGCTCTTTGCTGTGGACTATCCTGTCACAGAGCCCCCACCTCTCCCAGACCCCCCGATGAAAACAACAGCCACAGCAGAGACGGCTGAGACAAACCACTCACTGCCTTGACAACAAGATCTAAACAAGTCTGGAACACCTCACTCCACTGTGCTGTCAGACTGAAACAAAAACATTTTTTCTTCCTTGCTTCTGTTTATGTTTTTAATTAGATTCAAGGGCATGAAATGTTGCTTAATCAATTAAAATATGGGTTTTGCTTAAAGCATAACATTGTCAGCTTGTATTGAAATTTTTTATGTATAGGTGGATAGGGCCAATATAGCAAGTTGATGCATTTCCTATTTATGACTGAGGTTTAATTTGTATTACTGAATGGCTGCTAAGATAGATGCTTTTGCGATATATCCACTGAAGTGTGATATTTACTGCAAAAGCAGCATGACATTTCAAGTACAGAGATAACCAAGAAAGACTACAAGGAGATTTTATTCAATTGCCCACTGAAACTAAAAAAGATTAAATAAAATCAACCCAATTCGGGATCAACCGCCCAACATGCCTCAGAGGACAAAACTGGAAAACTATAAGGGAGTTATTGTAAGACAAGAAGTCATTCTCTAGACAAAGGCTTGTATTGGAAGAGTTTGAAGACAAGGTCTTTCAAGAAAAGGCTGGATTAGACCCTTAAATATTTAGTTACTAAAAACCAAACAGGTTAGATAGGCCTCCACACTCAAAAGAAAAAACTTGACACTTCCTTTAAGTCATATTTAAAGCCTGACAGGGGTATCGTGGTGAACATAATCTAACTTTTATTTGTCAAACTGAGACTTGACAACTTATTTTTAATTGTATTTTTTCAGACGATTAAATGTTTCCACACCCATCCAGCATCTCAATAACACAACTTAAAATAGTTTTTTTTTTTCACATTTCAGTATCTTATTCAATCATCAAGCTTGTTATTTGAAAAGGAAAACCTGTAGGAATCCATGCCAAGTCAATTTAACTTGTCTATTGTCAAAAGCCCTCATTTTCCATTGCACAAATCAGAAAACAATGCTGTTACAGAGCACAAACGTTTGTTTTTCTTAAGGCCCACATTTTAAAAGTCACTGCATTGCTTTTTTTCTGTATAAGAAGAAAATAATGTTTGAAAGGATAAAAATGATCTACAGTATTTTAAAATCTCCACTCATTATTTCAAGGATCTGTAAGGAAACCAAATCATGTAACAAATACAGAGATTGCAGTATGAGACCGCATGCTCCCCAAAAACTCATTTGTTAAATTCTGCCACAGTACTTCTGCATCAGTTTGTGTCCACTCCGCATTTTCTGCTTGGTGTTTTGCCTCAGTTTTTTTTACCCCTTTCACAAGGCCATCCCTTTAATACGGGACAAGCTTTCGTATTCAACACAAAGCATGCTGCCCGCGGGCTATTGCACATCTTGAGATCGGGCGACTGGGAACTGCAGGAGGCACTCACTGGCTATCATGATGGTCTTGGAGTTGCCGCCCAGGCTGTCCTTCAGCAGCCAGGTGAGGACAGAGTCCCGGTAGGGGATGTAGCAGGAGCGCCGCCCCCCGCCTGAGAGGGAGCTGGAGTGACTGCCTGCCGTGCTGCCCTCCCCCTCGCTTGCCACACTGTTGATGCTCTGACAGCTGCTGAACATCTGGGAGTTCTGGGCTGGAGATTAAAGTGCAATTAACAAACGTGATTAATAGCAATATCAACAGGAAGTTTTATCTATGGTAAAAACTGTTTTGTTTTTTTTAAAGACGGAGCCATATTTCACAGATCACCCCCCCACACACACACAAAAAAAATGAATCTCCAAGCTCCAAGAATCCCACAAAACTTCATTTTCTGACTCCCCAAAGTGATACTGTCAGATAGGGAGGGTATGAGAGCAATGATGAGGAGAGGAATGTCACAGTGTCCTGTGCCTCTCGCCCACCACCCAGCAGGCACCCACCCAAAGAAGAGATGACGATTCCCAGGGTGACCAGACTCTTGTTGATGTTGGAGCCTTCTGTGATCCGGTCCCGGCAGTAGTGTGGATCAGCCCTCTCACTGGAAAACAACAGTTTCACACCTAATAGCACCGAAGTGTAAAAACATGAGGACTCCGGGAGACGATTGAATATTAGTACCTCTTTTAAATCGTTTTACAAAACAAAAGGCTACGTTTTCACAACATTGCTACAAGGATACAAAAATCGGACATGAAATAGTCTGTCAGGGAAAGAATGTACAGTATTCCATCAGTTTATGCACTAAAGCATATCAGATCATACTGTAAACCTGATTAGCTGTTGCAAAATGTTTTTGAGCAGAGCCTCTGCCTTCACCAGGACAAGCGGCCTGAAAATAGGTGAATGAATCTCTGCTAGTTCTCCACTAGGGGGCAAAGCAGCATTGGAAATTACTCTTTAAACAAAGAACAGCACATTTGATGTTTTGACTTCTAATTCATCACAGCTGTCATGTCAAAAAGAATTGTCAACAGAGTGACGGTCGGCTGTGGGCACATTGCACAGGTTTATACTGGGCAAGGACAGAAATTAGCTTATCAACCTCCCTGTCGCGCCATACCTTACCTCCCAGCCAGGTCTACCAAGTTAATTTTGCTGACAATTTCTGAAGGCAGGTTGTTCTCAAGTATGGCCTGCACAGAAAAAAACAGCAAACACACTCAGTAAATAATTGGTACAAACGGGTGGTTAATACCTATAAGAGGGGGGCTTGTGAAGCCACTTGCAGCAACAGAAAAGTACCTTTGCTACCCCACCTTATGATATGTTAGTGCTGGGGTTTAGTCAAAAAATAATCATGTAGTCAAGAGCTCCCCACCACATAATAATTCTTTCATACAAGTGACTTGAGTTAGTAATACTATTAGATGATGGAAAAGTAAGACTTTTTTTTAAGATAGACTTCCTTAATCCGACTTCTGGGAATACACCGCATTCAATAATTCTGCACCAGCGCTACAGTGTTTTGCAGACAGCTCTCGTCCTTTGGCATCCTACAGTTCACTTTTCACACCTGATGGCTTCTGCACAATGTGAGACACTCTTCACTTTTGTTATGAATGCCGACAAAGGTACACCTTGGTAGAATCTTTTTACACGTGAGTGTGAAGGATTGACTGCTTTGCGTTTGAGACTGACAGTGCTCTTATCAGCTGACCTGGGTGTAGTGAATGGTAAAGATGGCATGAGATCGGCTGCTGGCATCATGGACATGAGTGGCGGCCGTGATTCTACAACAGAAGAACACAGAGCACATTGCAGCTCAGACACAGGGAGACAAAGCTAAAGACAGAAATACCAGGACACAGCAAAGCGCCTCTACCACCTCTAGCATCCATGCAGGTGGATGCTGCACATTGGTGGTGGTGGACAGGAGTCCCCATTACCTGTAAAGCGCTTTGAGTGGAGTGTCCAGAAAAGCGCTATATAAGTGTAAGCAATTATTATTATTAATTATTATTATTTCAATGTATTCAGAGGTTTTCCTTTGCTCTGTTTTTCTGAAGAGTTATGGTAAAAATTGTGCCAAATTTAATCTGTGTTGTTGAGTTCTGTAGAAGTACAGCATATCACAACTTCTCTTTTCAGCATGGAATAAACATTTACTTGATCTCTTGAATCCATTTATCTGGGTGTAGGGTGATAAATCCATTTTGGATTAGTGAACAATTTGTTGTTCAAAATGGAAAAACATAAAACGAAGCCGTAATGCTCCAATTAATTGAGTAGTTTCGCTCACCTGTTTGCAATTCCCTCCTCCAAGAGCTCCACTGCCTGTTTGTAATCTGAAACAACATGCTGAGACAGGCCTGCGGGGAACAGTAGGAAATAGTAGAAAACACAAGAATTGCACACACTAATGTTGATGTCTAAGCACAGCTACAATCAAATCAGGTTGCTCATTGTTCGTTTTCAGTTAATCACGAGCTCTATTTGGAAGAATTTGGTGTAAAAATGGAAAAATACTGCACTCACTGTTTAAGGTGACCCACACTTTAACAGAAGCCCTAAGACATTTCATTTGCTGTGCTACATGACAACTTTCATCCAGCAGGTTTAACACTTCATAGAATTCAAAGCTAAAAGACTACAGAAGTATGATAATTTTAAATTCAACATTGACTAATAATGTCTGTTTGTGAACCAGGAACTTAAAAGGCCCCTTTTCATACTATTCATTAAATAAACATGCCATATTTCTTAAAGACAAAGTAAAACTTACACTATATAAGCTTTAAAGACCAATAAGAAATGTAGGCCCTGGTATCTGTACTAGACATTACTGCCTGAAATGACTATAACACTGACAATTTAATTAAAACTCCTGCTGAAGTGCAGTCAAAATATTATTAACATTAATATTTGATTGGGTCATTCTGCTGCTCTCCGAGAAGAATAATCTTCCATCAGTGTCCCTCAATGTCCTGGATAAATACTATGACTGGCAATGAGCATGTCAGATTGGTGCTGAGAGGTGGCACAAAGAGCCTCACTGAGCTCCGTGTAAGAGTTGCACACTGATGCAACTACCCTCTTCCAGAAAAATAGGAGAATAAATGACGTTGAGATAGGCTCCAGTGATGCAAAGGGTTGCCGTGTTAGCAACCGTTTAGCTGTGGCTAGGGCAGCTAATCAAATCTACTTCTGTTGCTGAGAATTGCTTACATTACAATTAACGTAATCAAAAGACAGCTGTGTTCTTCCTACAAAAAACACCACCACACCACAGTTTTTTCTAATTAATTTGCAAATTTCTGCAGATGGATTTCTTTGACCTCAGCAGACTCCCTGGTCAGATTTCCTGTCCCTTTCTTGTGTTATAAAGACACACAATGCACACTCTGCAGCAATCACATTTCAAGCGGGTTTTGCCAGGTTGAATTAATAGTATAGTGTAAGTAATACAGACATGTTACTGTCTGCCCAACATATCAAATCTCTTCTGAATATAGAGCCGGATTTACGCTTTTCTGTCTCATAACATTTTTACCAATGATGCCAAATTAACACTTCAGACACAGAGGATTGAGTGCTATTAACCATTCCATTTAGCTCCTTATTCAGCTCTAAAAGAGAATGCTGTATCAGGATGCTTGTTTACCCATTTCAAGGTCCATCAGATTTGCCTGACGTGTCACAACCAAGTGCAATTGAAGATGCATGAGCAGCCTTTCTCATTCCATTTCATTAAGGCTTTGAGAAGCACAGCTTTTTAAAGTCATGAGTCGTTGCGCTCGGGGAATAAGATATGTGCTATAGCATGTTCTAGTGGCAGGGAAGAAACACTAGAAAAACATATCCTCTTGCAGGCTCATCATAATTAGACTTTGGTAATGTCATGTCTAGTATAATCATATTGTATCCAGCTCCACGGGGTGTGTTTTAGCCAAACTAGTCACATTGTACATGCTGATTTGAAAGAGATAGTCAACACAGTTCAAAAGAATTGACCATGTCAACCAGAATTAAACTCATCAGATTTTTGCTCAAGGGAAAATGAACATTTCATCAACCTCTGACTATCCAGAATTTGTATGGAGTTCAGAGAAAAAAAAGTAGCACAGTTGTGCACTGGAGCTAAAGGCTTTGGACATTTACGATAATCCGCACAAAAGGCCGAAAGAGAATGAGCTCTGCTTAAATCTAAAGGTCTGAAAAACTGGAGATTTCTTCATGCTCTGCCTGATTCGGTTCATCTAAATCGCTTGCATTAGCTGTGCTGGGCTGCGCCAGGCCTCTTGTGCAATGTCCAAGCAAAAAGACCACAGCCGTCCCTGTATATAGGTCATTTGTACATCATTAGCCGAAGCGATTACACACCAGTGTATCACAAGGAAGTCAGGCCCTCTAGTAAAGAGGCTATTAATATAAAGCACTCTTCAGAGAGCCAGGAACCCCCACCCCAGGCCATCGGAGTTGTGCTCTGTGCTGCTGCACAGCTTCCAAGAGGATGATGTCACTTCCTCAGCTCAGTCCCCAGTTCCCCAAGATTCAAACAAAGCCAAAGTGTGGAGCTGCAATACGGAAGGCTTTAACCCTGTAACTGCTGAGCCACTGTTCAAATCAAACTCTAAAAGACTATAAAGTAACATCCAGACACCATCACATGTATAAATACTTTTACTAAGTCATTTAATCTTTTTTTCCATATGCTACAGTAGATCTAGTCAAAGATGGGTGCATACTTGCAGCTTTCAACACCTTTCAGCTGGGTTAATGGGTGCTGTGATGGGGCAGCGCTATAGTAACCACCACAGAACAGCTGATCAGCCCCCTGTGATGGGTGGGAGGGACTCACCCTGCACATAGGGTCCCTTCTCCGGGTGCTCCCGGACACGGAGTGTGAAGGGCTTCTTCTGCTCCGGGCGCCTCAAAAGGTCTCGCACACGCTCGTTGTAGATTTCAAGAAAGCTGAGGAGAGAGGGAAGGCACTGATGAGCAACAAGCTGGAGTGTGGAGAAGAGTTGGTATCTGACAGAGCTGAAGAGCGGGGCCATTGGGGCTGAGATAGCTGAAGGCAGAGTGGGGTAGCTACTATGGCAGAAGGCCTGAATGAGCTAGGGCTAGGGCTGAGAGCTTTAATCGGAAAAAGTGGAACAATGAGCTAAGAACAGCAAGACACAAATCATGGTATGGAAACTGAGGATATACTGTAAACTTCATAACTGCAGAACTCGCCATTCTAATCAAGCTACAGCAATTTATTGTACTAACTACAGGTGCACCTTTTGATTTGTACATGCTTTATCCTCTATATGGTCACTAGTCTTTTAAATTAAATTAAACTCTGGCTGTGATTTCACAAACTATCTGTTCCAGTGTGAAGGCTAACATTAATAAGGTCATCAAAGAGAGAGCTCTGTGACTTTCACACACTAGACGCATATAGACAATTAGGCAGTTAGGGTATTATCCTCCAGCTTTGGGACTGTGCAACGCCGTCTCACCTGATTTCGACTCTGCAGGAGTTCTGTCCCTCAGGGTAACGGTCATCCCTTGTAAAGAGGCCCTGGAGAACCAGAAGCAACAGGCTGATGTGAATGAAGGGCTTCCAGTGGCTCTAACCATCACAGTTTTCTATGGGACACTGACATTGCCGTAACATTTTCATTGCCCTCCTGATACAGTGTACTGGATTCATTTGAGATCACTCATTAGAAGACACGTTCCTTGTCTAGGACTCTTAACACAACTCTTTTGACTCCCTGTTCCCCCGGTCTCATTTCTGCACCAACCTTCAACTGCAACAATTGAACAAAATAAAATAAAACGTGTTTTTAACAGTTAAGCAGAATGACATTCTGTCAAAATATTACCTCACAGATCCTGGGAGTCAGTCCTACTGATGTCTGAAAAGAAGATGAAATGATATATAAATGTCATATGACAAATATCACTGTGCCAACTAAGCATTTTTTTTGCGAACGTAGATATCACTCGGATTCCAATTTCATATATACCAGCATAATTACTTTCCATTTCTACCCTGAGCTGATGTCAGTAGCATTCTTTGATAATTTGTTCATGCATTTCATGCTCTCTACTACTAAATACAATTTAAAAATGAAAGTATCAAATCAAAGATAATCACGAGTGTATTAGATCAACTTACTTTGTGTGTCCAATAATATTAGTGTTTTATAAAATACAGAAGGACCATAAAGAAGAGTTAAAAATAGTGCTTATTATTCTGTCAGATCACATCAGTTTTTATGTATTTAGATATGACAGATTATTTTAAATGTATTTTTAAATTATATGATTATTGTTCCAGCTGTTGATGAGTACAATTTAACAAATATGTTATAGGTTTTAAATGATTTTTTAACACATTCACATAACATAATACTCAACAGCTTCAGATGATAACCCAGGCATCTATGACATAACATACGCAAATCCATTACCAATATTTAACTCAGCTACACAGTTTAGAATTATAGCATAGCCGCGTCAATATGAACCACACAATACCCCAAACAACAAGGCCAGTCTAACTGCAGATGCTTTCTGCCTGAAAATGAGACGGAATGCCAGGCTTACCGGTGTGCCTATCATGGTGTAGGTCTTGCCTGAGCCGGTCTGCCCATAGGCAAACAGGCACACGTTGTAACCCTCAGCTGCCCCTGCCAGCACGGGTGCACCAAGGTCCCGAAACACCTGCGCAACAGTGACACATTGTGTGACTTCCCATTTGACAGAAGGAGAAAAACGTTACACACATCCTAATCCTACCGCTGGCAGATTTGATTACAACATGCAAACGTATAGGAACACCACATGGCGTCTACTGTTCTGACTTGATGAGCATGGAAGTATAGGAAATCCTACAAAGCTGTCAAAACAGAAAAAAATGTTTTTTCACAATACCCGGTGCAGGACAAGCATCTTAGTTATAACAGTAAAAAAAATAACATCATCCTAAGCAGCAAATCTCTAAGCAGAAAATGTGGAATTTAAATCAAAGTAAAATAATATCAAAAGGCCCAATGTATTAGATATACTACATAGAATACTGGAACAGATAAAGGTTTATTCCATGCCGAAAGGAAAAGAAAATAGACACGACATTTCCGCTGTGGAGCCTTCTTCAGTGTCACCTTTTAACATGGAATAAATCCTTACTTGTTCCTTTGCAGCCTACACATGCTGACACAGCTACCTACTTAAATATTGAGAATATTGGCTCCCCACATTACAAGATAGATATTATTGCTTGAGAAAAGGTAATTCCTGGTCTGAAATGAATACAAGACTCAAACTGACTAAAGGAGCTGAAGTGTTTAAGCATGTGAAAGATGGTTATGTGGAAAATTGGTTTAAGTGTTAAAAGTCTTATGATACTGAAATACCCATTCTGAGGAAACATTCTTCAAAAACAATGGCGGGTGACTGGAAACATGAAAGAGTGTTCAGGACAGAAAGCAGGAGACATTTCGTCTTGGGGGAGAGCAAAGATCTTCCTGGCAACATTCAGAAGGCCAACTCTGTGGTCAGATCCTTTGGCGTTGGACAGGGGCTTGAAGAGAAATGTGCACATGGGCTGTATGCTCTTATTTTCCTGTCTTTGAAGGTTTAAAAAAGTTATTAAAGAGGCTTTAACAAAACACCGCAGGTCTGCCAACAGACTGGAGCTGAGTGAGTTGATCCATTTTCAGTTCATGCAAGTTGATATTTTGCCCAGATTATTTCGACAGCTATTACAGCAGAGCAGGCCAGACACGGTGTGAGGCCTGCAGCCAGCGTGGGCAGGCAGCAGCACTTCCTGGTGAGATGATGCTGTTGACCCAGGACAGCACTCATTTCTGAAGAGTTGATATTGACTGAAGCAATGGAAATGTAAGGTAAAAAATGGCTTCCCTTAAAAACCTGAAGGGACATGGAGGCATAACAAAAAGCCTCTGGTACGAAGTGTTAAGGACATCTGTGGGAAATTTAATTTCCATTTCAAGTCTGGACAGATATAGCACATGTCAAATTAAACACAAATAATCAAAGATTGTTTTCAGAGAATGATAAAGATGACTGCCAAATAATTTAAACTGATGATAAGTAGGCAGCCTAATAGAAAGACTGTCAGTATTTGTATTGACTACCATGTTTAACTGTGGGAAAGCAACAAAGACAAACAATGATTGAACTTACAAGAAAATATAAAAAGGTCTATCTGATATAAATTGTTACAAATGTTCAACTGCAGTCCTGTTAAGAGCAAACTGTCAAATACTGACTGAAAAGCAGCAGGTAGTGCTAAGAAATAATTAAATATAGTAATTGTATTCAGTTTATTCTTATCTTAAATGCATGGTTACTCCTTGTACTAACATGGTGTAAATGTCCTAATTGTAACTCACCCTAAATAAGGACATCTGTTAAACACTTAAATCTAAACTTGTGTACTATATTGTATATACTGTATATCATCATCATTAGAATAGTGTTAATACTTACGATAGCAGCAGTAAAGCAAACAGCACTAACAGGTCACAGTATGTCAAACTGCACAGACAGGCCAACAGAGCTGAGCATTTTTACCTTGGAATACCAAAAATTTGGAAGAAATTTCATTTTGGAAGTGAAATTTGAATTCAATATAGTTACAAAATGAAATACTAATTTTTAAGTTTTAGTTGCCTTAAAAATACATTTAGAAGTGTATGCAGTACAAGACAGCAGCGTGTCATGTGCCACAGTACCATTTCAGGATGGGAACTAGCCCATAGAAGGCATGTGCTGCAATAGAAAACATTTGACTCCCTAAACCCCATTTCTTTGCAAGAACATTAGGACAAAAGCACTAACCTTTATTGCTACAATGAATTAACACAAATTTTAATAGAAACATTATTGCAAGTAAGGGAGCTTTTCAAAATTCTATTTTCTTCAAACCATCCTCTCCTTTCATGTCAGTGCTTTTGTGTTAAAACAACACTCTTCCTTCCAGAAAGCTATTGTTCAGTTTTATAAAGCAGTCTGTTTCCCGTAACATAAGAACTAAATTGTAGACCATACAAAACTAGCCCATGAACCGCATGAAAACACTCTGCATTCCAAACCAGACAGTTTAATGTTCTAGACACCTACAGTACATTTTCTCTGATCCTTTTAAATTCAGAAAACCAACATAAAATATTCAAACTTTGAACATGCATCTTTTAAAAGCTCCTGTGAATATTTAGGAGCTAGAATGATTAAAATTAAAAAACACACTTTTAATGTAATCTACAATCATGTTAATTTATGACAGACGGTGTTTGAGGAAAGCTCTAAGCATAATCAAAGACCCCACACACCCCAGCTACAGACTTTATGATCTTCTACCATCTGGAAAACGGTACCGGAGCATTCGGGCCCGGACTACCAGACTCAGAGACAGTTTTTACCCCCGCACTATCAAACTATTAAACTCCCAGCCTCTCTCACTCTCACCTCACCCCTCACCTATGATCTGAACCTCACAGTGCCTTCTTCCTTTCTTTCTTACCAAAAACCCAAACACACATTGAAAAATCTACCTCTACCATACATGTCAAAAGCTCACTCCCCATCATTTCTATCCCTTTATTTTATTCTGTTGATGCATATTTTTGCACATAACCTGTTACCTTTTTGTTGTTTTGCACATTGCCTGTTGTTGTTTTTTTGCACATCGTCTGTTGTTGTTTTTTGCACACTGCCTGTTGTCTCTGTCTTTCTTTTGCTACACAATTGTATTGTTGTTGTTTTTTTTCTCTTTGTACTACTTATGTCCGAGAGCTAGCTAAATAGCATTTCGTTATACCATATACCATGTATATGAGTGTAATGACAATAAACTTGAACTTGAACTTGATAACACTGATCCCTAAATGTTTAGAAAAAATGACTCCAACACTATTACCAATCCATGAATGAAGAGTTTTTTTCTTACTTAATATAGATGTGATCATCATTTTATACAATCTATAACTGCCCGTGACAGATTTAGCTAGTACTTTGAGTTATTTTATTGTGGGGCACTGAGTGGTTAGCATTGCTGCCTCTCAGCGCTGGGGTGATGAGTCAGTGGCAAGCACTGGGGTGACTCCCCCCATGTTCATGCAGGTTTCCTCCTGCAGTCAAAAACATAGGGGTAGGATAACTGGTTTCTGGGAAAATTGGCCCTTGTGTGAGTGTCTGTGATTAGATCTGTTTGTGCCCTGCGATGGATAAACCCATCCCGTTGTTTGCTGGGATAGACTGTGGCTTCACCGCAACCCTGTATTGGAGGAAGAGGTTAGAAAATTGATGGATGGATTATTTAATTGCTTGTGTTTCAGGTCCAATGTATCAGTATATGTATTAACTAAAAAAAACATTTATATTTAGTTTTATTGGACAGGGAAGGTGCAAAATGAAATAAAACTAAAAATATCCTAAGATGGACCCATAGCAACATAGTCACTGGTGTACTTAAACCAACACTTTAATAGTCATCTGAGATACTTGTGTTCTTAAAGAGTTTTGAATGCATGGAACATCTTGTCAAAATAAATTCTGGAAACCACCTCTGGGATCTTTAAATAACTGTATTTGTGCTACTCTTGTATTAATAAGTCTCGTCATTATCATCTAATTGAAAACTGCTTGTGAATCCTTTTTGAAGGTTGAACTGAGTTGGTAAAGAAGGCTTATGAGCCAAGTGAACCCCAAATTCATGTCCCCCACCCAATGTCCTACCAAGGTATGAATAGGATAAGCTAGGCCTTTCTTCCCAGCATTCACTGCAGCACTTCTGGCTTCAGTTAGTGTTTTACTGGAGGCTACTGTCTTGGTTTGAACCAAAGTATAACTTTAATAACCTTTACGTAGGCTACTGTCAACAAACTGCTAAAATGCACTGGGGTATTGAATGTTGTCTTTTCTCCCACTGTATGTAAAATATTCCCAAACAAGCTTTCGATGAATCCATGGAAAATAATACATTATATCTTTGTAAAATTACAGAGCAAAGCTCAGCTGAAGAGGAAGCACATCTCCTAGGCCCATTAAATCCATTAAATCTCCTACAGTATGCAAGCTAGCCTCTTATACTCTCCTCCATTCCCTACTGACAGTATGTAATCGTAATTATGATAAAGTCAATATTAACACCGGGAAGTGAAAGCTGCGCTGTTAGTGCAGAGATTAAGCCAGGGTGGAGACTAACACCAAAATAACAGTTGAGCATGTCACAGTCATGACAAAGCAATGTGTGTAAAGTACACACCTCACACAGTAACATATACAGTGTTTCCAGGGAGCGTGTGCATGGTACCATTCCACAGACGTCGATAAGAGTGAGTGGTGGCAAGGCATGCAATACCACTGGCTGCACCTCTGTGTCAGTTCAAAGACCAAATACATTCATGATCCTCTGCAGAAAGGTTCCCCAGCAAAATTATCCTCCTCTCCTTCCCAGTGTTATTCCACCTTTACTTGATAGAGAAGAAATCCAAGGACAGGGATATGAAGGGTGCTGTGACAAACCTTAGACTTTAACCATTTAAAATTCTCAAGTACCTGTTCTATTCTTGCCTTGCTAAAAGACAAATGTTCCTACCTAGAATCAAATTAAATATTACTGCAAAATAAAATAACCATGAAAAAAGGTACTGTTTAAAAGGGATAGGAGATTGAAATTAAATCTAAATGCCCTGATC